TCACTGAAACAAACCAGCTGCCTGTCAACCAAACTGCAAACCCCTCTTTAACTAGATGCATTTTCTGCTTCTTGCAAAACAGAATTTAGTAATTATGTAGAAAGATAAGAAACTGGAAAACGTTTGGATTAAGCTTCAGTTTGTTAGTCCTCACCCAGTCCATTGTTCACAGGCAGGCACTGGTTTAAAAGAAAAATAGAGTTGCATGTCATGAGTACACTGATAACAACATGCTCCAAAACTCTGGATGACCCCACCCAGTGGTTTCATGTAAATGTTAAAGAACATGAGGAACAGAACAGACCTCTGAGGAACTCCATGCTGGAAAATCTGTGAGCCTGAACAGTATTCCCCAAGTACCACTTTCTGAAGTTAGTCCTCTAAGTAGGAGCAGAACCACTGCAATGTAGTACCCAACCCTCCCAGCTCAGACAGCTGCCACAGTAAGATACCACGGCTGATGGTATCAAAAGCCACCAAGAGGTCCAGGATATCAACAGGGTCACATTCCTGCTATCTCTGTCCTGGCACATCATACAGGGTCACCAAATCTGTTTCCATGCCAAAACCAGGCCTGAACCCTGACTGAAATGGCTGCAGATAATCAGACTCAAAGATTGCCTGGAGTTGATTGGAAACCACCTTTAAGAACGTTTCCCAGGAAAGGGATATTTACTACTGGCCTATAATTATTAAGGTCTTTTGGGTCAAAGGAAAATTTTCTCAGAAGTGGTCTCACCACTGCCTCTTCCAGGCAGCATCGAACCACTCCTTGCAAGGGGACATTTATCACCTCCCTGGCCCAGCCAGTTGTTATTTCCTTGTGGGCTTTTATAAGCCAGGAGGAGTAAGGATCCTCTACAGAGTTGGTTGCAGAAACCTTGTCAGCCTCCTTAAACTGTACTAACTGAAACTCATCCAGTAAAACTGGCCTAGACTATCTCTGAGTATCTCACTTGATTTAACTGCTTTAATCCCTTCCTTCCTTGCTGGCTTCTATAGGCCAGGAAGAAGGAGGATTCAGTACAGAGATGGTTGCACAAAAGGACAAGAGCCTTGTTAACTTCCTCAGTCTGTACCAATTGAAACTCACCCAGCAATGCTGAACCAGACTGTGCTCTAGATATCTGCACAGATTCAGACCTATTAACTGTTGAGTCTAAGTTCTGGTGGATGCAGGAATTTTTTTCCTGGAAGTGCACAGAGAATAAATTACAGCAGGTCTCAGATGGTTCCTAGATGCCCCTGGAGTCAGCATATTAGCAGGCTTGGACAGACCTGAGAAGCCCTGCTGGGCAACAAAGGGAAAATGTATAAAGACAGTGTTTTGCTTTGTTTTGCTACCATCACTGCCCCAAGAACACTCAGTTATAAGCACACACCAGGGCTCAACTGTATCCACTGGGAATCTTTCTTCCTTTGCACTCAAGCCATCTCCTAATTTCCATCACTCTCGGCTCCAGGATACACCATGGAGCCATGTGAGCTCTACAACAGGGAGTGTACTCAGAAGTGATCATGACAACTCCCTGGGTCATTTCTATGTTCCACAGTACCACCAGGGCTTTGATAGACAAAGCAACTGTATCAATCGGGAAATCCCCCAGAGCCCTCTGGAAACCTTCCAGATCTTTAGCCTCTGCAAATTGACCATCTTAATAGGCCCCCACCCTTGCAGAGGGGAAAAGCTGCCATCAGTCAGAATCTCAGCAGGTGGAGCTCTGGCCATGACAAAGGGGCAGAGTCAAGGTCCCCCATACTCAGACCACCATCCTCATATCCAGCTGAAAAGACCAAGTCTACAGTATTTCCCACTGCATGTGCTGAGCCAATGACACCTTGAGGCAGTACCACAGTTGTCAAGGCAGCCATGAAATCCTAACCCAGGTAAGGTGCACTCAGCACAAATACTGAAGTCTCCCAAGACAACGTGGGAGGCCCCAACATCACATTTGAGACTACCTCCATCAGCTCAGGTAGGGAAACTGATGGGTTGCAGGGTGCACAATACACCAGCAGAATCCCCAATCTGTCCCACTGGCCCAACCCAAGGTGCAAACACTCCAGACTGGTTGTTGGACAGACAGAGTGCCTGGAGAGAAAGAATTTTTATAAACTATGGTGACCCTCCTTCCCCAACCCTCAAGTCTGTTCTAATGCTGAACCACGTACCCCAGTGGGCACAACTGGGAGTGGTTGATTCCTCCCTGTTCACCCACCCAGGTCTCAGCTATACATGGTTGATCAGCTGCCTTATCCACAATTAAATCATGGATGAGGGAGATCATATTCTACACTGATCTGACAGCCTCCCTCCCAGGCATAGTTCTGGGTATAAGCCCACATGAGCAAGAAACAGGTGATGAAGAAGTGGAGCAGCACCTTTATCTTCATGGCATCCAATGGTAACCCAGCACTCTGCAGGATGCCTGCTTAAATGCTCAGGGGGCTGCTGAATGGCCAGGGCAGGTGAGTCTATTCTGCACTGATGAGATCAGCTAAAATGGCAAAGAATGCTGGAAAAGTGGCAGGACAGCTTGCAGCAGATCTTAAAATGCAGTAGTCTACTTCCCCAACACTCCCACAGCCTCTTTACCAGTTTCAGGAAGCAAAATGTTCAGCCAGAGTCTTTACATCACAAGCCCTTGATTCTCCACCTGACACCTATCATCGCCTTCTGGGTGCTTAACTGTTACTGCAGCATCACAACTTGCAATTTCTACATTCACCTCTACAGTACCAAATACAGGGTTGGCATGCAATTTACCAAGATAGTTTCAACCAAAGTAAAAGAACTGGCTTACTCACCCCTAAGTCTTCCTGCCTGGAAAACAGCCAATTTAAGGCATTAACACTTATTTCAATACTCTGCCATCAATATATACTATTACAATTAAAGTTAGTTACATTTTAATTACATATTCATGGTTTAATATAGCCAACAACAGATTCCTAGAGTTATGCATTTGAAAAATAAAACTGCCTTCAATAATATATGTAGTTTATATGTTGAACCCCTAATATCTGCCTTGATTTTTTAAATCTAAAAGCAGGCGATAATTGCAATGTAATAAAAAACAAACAAATTCAGGCAATACAGTATTAGTAATATTTTCAGATTCAGACCAGTTTCACAAATGTTAGCAAAGTTTTATAGTTCCATCAACTTGTTCCACAGTATTTTCTAAAATTTTTCCTAACATAGGTTGTCTTACTATTCACTTTTAATTCCATATTTGCATCTAAAATCCAGTGCTACACGACAGGTTTTTGAGTATTAAAAAGCAAATAAAAATACACATGATGGTATGTGTATCATTTTTCTCTTTAAAATGTTACTTTGTCCTTTAAAATAATACAACCAAGGTCTAATCCCTTCTTACTCATTGCTCACGTGTGTTTTGAACAGAAAAAAACAATATACATGTATATGCAGTGTCTTATCTGACACATGGTGGTCATCACAGGGTAACAGCAATCAATGACAACACATCACTGAAACAGCAGCTTATTAGTTGTTCTACTTACTATACAGACTCTCTCCAAATACCCATAACTGAGTTATTGGTCTATCACCTTTGCTTATATAGGAAATAAAAATCTTTTACGTTTCCTGGTATTCACTAAGGTTAAGCTGCTGTTAAAGTCTACCCAACCCAAGATAAAAGAAATGATATGAAATGCAGTTTCTTTTTCTTGAATGAAACTATTTGAAACTCTTTATTATTCACTGCTAAACAAGCCAGCACACTAACTCAAATTACCATTATGTTTAAGGTACCTCATTATTCTCTACCTTTGTTCCTTGTCACTTACCACAACTCACAACCTTGTATTTATCACATTTCCACTGTCTCATGCCAAATGTATTTCCCTTTATTTTTCTGCACCATTTCTTCAGCTTTTGACACATCTTTCAACTCTTGCTCTCCTACATGATGAAGCCCTTTTCAAGACTCCTCTTTAATGAAGAACTCCTATAAAGTTTGCTAATACAGTTACATTTAACAAAGATTTCCTCAAAACTTAATGTCTAAAAAAATGTCACCAGTGTTCACAATGCATATCTAACATATGAATTAATAACACTGCTCAAAACACAAGGGCATTGCTATATCTGGCCCAAGAGTCTGAGTTACTTTCTAGTAACTGCTTTTAGGAAGGCAGCCTAGAAATCAATCCACCAAAGGGCAAAAGCATAATGTGCCCACTGGTCTCAGTCCTCCTCCTTTCCCTCTCCAACTTCACAATAATAATATTAAACCTATTTAAAGTGAGTTTAGGTTAATTATTATAGTCACATATATTTTTAATTGGCAGTGCAGGTAAATGCCCTAACATTCCTGTTTTACTCCAGAAAGATCTCTTTCCAGAAGAAAAGCTCTTCTCAATACTGCTTCTGCCTGACTTTGTTGTTTTGTTCCAAATGCAATCTTGTCAGAACATTTATTTGTTCCATGCTTATTGGGGTGGGGAAGGAAAACTACTATTTCATAAAACAGCTCCACCTAAAACTAAAATCTTGCCACTGTAAAATTAAGAAAACATTTTAGGTTCTCCCCTCACCCCCACCCATTTTTGCCGGTCATCTAAAATGAGTTTTGACAGCATGCACGTAGCGTTGTTCAATGTGCAGGTGTGCACTCCCGTCTGACAGAGCCGCAGGGTTTAACCATTTGCATGCTGGCGAAAAGTATCGGGAGCCAATCACACCGAGCACTTCGGTAAAAGACCTCTTGCCTGCTGGCTTGAATGTAAGCAAGGATACGGCTAACAACCCCATTGTGTGGGCTGCATGAGGCACCAATACCCTCAGGGCACAGTCCGAGCTTCCCCATTTCTTATGGCAGACACTTGGTAGGGCTGTATAGAGTTCCCCGCATAGTGTGTCAGCTTCGAGCCCTACATGGCTTTCATTGCCCACGAGAAACAGAAATGCGTGCAGCAGAAGGTATTAATCCCGAGGCCGAGAAGACCCCCCAGCGGACGCGGAATCTCACCCTGGCCAACTCCGGAGGCTTGACTGGGGCAGCGCCGCCCGTTCCAGCCATCCCTCCCTCGCCGTCGCCTCCATCCGCCATCTTAGGAGAACTGACAACCTCCAGGCTGAGCCCCGCCACAGGCCAACCGGAAACCAGCTGAGAGAGGAGAAGTGGGGGTTTCTATTCGGAAAAACTTGACCCAACGCTAGATCCTAGGAGAATCTGGTCCTAAGTGAAATTGAGCATGCTCAGATCGCTCACGCATGCTCAAGAGAACATTTGCCGAAGCCTCACTTGCTGCTAGGACAACTGTGGCGGCTGCCTTCTGAACAGGCAAGACGCACAGGAGATAAAGTATGTCAACATGGGCGGGTCGGGTGGGGTGAGGGTGGGATACGCCGAGTTTGGCGTGTCATCAGGAATCCCTCACGGGGCGGGGGGGGACTTTCATCGAGATCTGCGTAAACTGCTACCCGTTGCACACATGTCTGGGTGAAAAAGTCACACTGAAGTTTGTGGGCTTACTCTCGAATAAACATTGCTTTGGATCGAGTGCATAACAGTTTTTCATCGTTGTCTTAATTTCATAGTTTTAATTTGTGAAAGATTTCTATTTTTTTCCTCACAACTTCCTTGTGTTCAAGGAAAACTGAAACAGATTCATGTTTACTGTAGCTTGTGTTTGCAGTCAAAGATACTGGCTTTTATCATGTCAAAAGCAATTTATTCTAATGCACTATTTTTAAAAAATTGAAGAATTCGTGCCATGTATGAAAGCTTCTGGAAGATATTTAATTCACTTCTAATTTAAAGGCTAAGTAGATAATTAACATCTAACGATCCATGAGCTGTGTCCCAGTCGAAAGGGATCAAAGGTGCTCTTACATGAGCAACTCCTGGTGCTACCAACCAAGACATGAAGAAGCTATTTCGCCTTTCCCCTTAAACCATTTTCTTTGGAAAGAAAAAGGATGGGAGAAACAATGGGAAAACATGGGATAATTACAAATGCCATACAGTATCTGGATCCTTCATAAAGTTATGGGAATGGAGAGATTAAACTATAGGGCCTTACTCAAAAGCACCCCAAGAGACAGCTGCCCTAGCTACAACTGCCTGGTCATCCCAAAGCTGATGAAGAGGTAGGCATAAGCATGCAAGCACCAAAAAACGGTGCAATAAGCTACTTCTGCAAGTGGTTGACTGCTGGTTTTGGGTTCTCTTTGTTCCACCTTTCTCTGTTTTGAAGTCAGTGTTCCATTCAGAACAATGCTTTAATATTGTAATAGGAACTCTGGACCAGGGTGAGGAAGAGAAACAGAAACAGAGTCAGAAGGACCTCCTGAGCCATCTAGTCTGACCTCTGGCTCCACTCATGACATGCCTACCACATGCATGTCCAGAACATACCTTTCTTCCTGGCCAGGGCAAACAAGAACTATTCTGTAGCCTTCTTGGTAAGAAGTTTGGGGGGGGGGGGTGCTTACCAAGTATGCTTGTAAGCTGCCTTGTTTGTGTGTGTGGGTGTTGGCCTTCCGGGAAGAAAATAAAAAAGCACAGCCGTTTGTATTATTTAATATGGGCTGACCTTTCTTTAAGGACCCAAAGCAAGTATGATAGATCTAGCTGGAAGGATTAAGGAGGCCCAGCAAGTAATTGCCTCATATGCCACAAACACAGGTCATGCACATAGGGCAAGATTCAGAAACTTAATTAACCATACTAAAACTGAATATCTCACAATGGAATTAGGATACATTAATTCAGACTTAGGCATCAATACACTCAAAGAGTTGCATACCCCAAGGTGTACAACTGTTCATGGTTGGTGGTGATCCCCTTCTTTGGAAATAGCACTACAGGAGGATTTTATTCTTGATTAGATTAACAGGATTTTATTTTTGATTTACAAGAAGAATCCATTTTGGTTAGATCTATTATGACTAGTATCTTGGCCAGGGCATTTTTGTTTGGTTGTGGGTTTTTTTGTTTTGTTTTTTGTTTTTGTTCTATTCATTAAGCAAAAGAGAACCATCAAATTCCCTATTCCATTTGTCTGACTCCGTATCATTCTTATTCACAGATATTATTATTAAATTACATTTATATTCTGTCTTCTTTTGAAGAACCCAGATCAGCTTACATGATCCTGATATTTTAGCTTCATAACATCTCTGTGATGTAGGTTAGGCAAAGGGTCAGTGACTGGGCCCAAAGTGACCCAGTAGATCTCATAGATGAGCAGGGACTAGAATCCAGATCTTCCTGCTTCAACGCAACACTCTGACCATCACACTGCCTCTCAGTGGCACTGTTACCACTTGATGTATATACAATACTCAACACTGTGAAGGTGGGGTGGGTGTTGTTGTTTTTTTGGTGTAACAAAAGTAAACAAAAACAAGCTGACACTTATTAGTTACCTAAGTATTTACCTGCTTCACTGTGACATGCCTGATTGAGCTCTGGTGCAACCCAATGCCTAGCTTACCATAAATTGTTGAATAGAATCCTTCTGTGTTAAATTCTGGTGCCACATGATCTCAGATTAAATACATCCATTTCTGGAAGATCCCAGAGTTGCTCGCGGACATATCTACACAGCATCATGAAGATCGAAGAGTTATCCAGGGAAACGTTGTGCCAAAACATCAAGGAAAAGCACACAGCAAACATATGGAAAAAATTTCCCTGATCTTATGAGACCAAAATTAAAATAGGATTTTATAATTTTTAGCCGAGAATGCACCGGGGGTCTTTTAATAATTTTTGTTAATTGTTACATTGTTATTGTTTATGTATTTATATATCCTTTGTGAGCCGCCCCGAGGCTTTGTTGCGATGGGGGTGGCATAGAATTGTTTTAAATAAATAAATAAAATTGAACTTTTTAGCTTTGTCACAAAATACTATGCGTGGCACAAAGCCAACAGTGTTCATTTCCTGAAGGTACCATCCTCGGCATGAAGCATGGTGTTGGCAATTATTTCAATTCCAGGTTGTTAACAAAATGTGAAGCGGTTAGCATGTTGGACTGCAGACCTAGAAGGCAGGTTCTAGTCAGGAAATTCATTGGGCTACTTCACTCTCAACTTAACCTCCTTCACAGGCTTGTTGTGAGGATAAAAATGCAGTGGAGAACGATTTAAGCTTCCTCAGGTCCTTCAAGAGGAAAAAGGCAGCTTATAAATGCAATGTAGAAAAATGTGGAAATGTCAAAGGGCAGTGTATTTGCAGTGCTTCTCCAAAGAACTGTATTAACCTTACTCCACAAACAAAGTTTAAGAGATGCCCATGTGTCTATATCCTGTGGTATAATCAACATCAAATTTAACTTGATCATTTGGGATATGTCTCTAGGGATGAGTATTCCCAAGTAGGCATTAAAATGTGGGCACCACTGAAATTGCCAATGAGCAATCTATAGATGCTTTCAATCCCTAGTCTCTTCCTCCTTCCTATAAGGCTTAGAAGCCCGATTTACATAGCTTCAGTCCCAACTGGCAGAACCAGGCATGTGCATCTTTAACTTCCTTCCTAATCACAACATTCTTTGATGTAGACTTCAAGTGCTCCTTAAGCTAACTTCACCAGCCCTAGGTGTGGATTTCTATGGTGTACAGTTCTCTGTGTAATGTTCAATATAACTAAGATCATTTGTTGTTTATGAACTGATTAATTTCCTGTTGAAATTCATACTGTCTCTTATCTATAATTCAGAAAATTTGTATATTTGTGTACATCACTGAAATGAAACTGCTCAGACATACCTCTGTCAAACAAGATCCTTTTATATATTCATTTACAGAGGATGTATATTAACAAGTTGAAAATGGAAGCTAAAGTGCCGAATCTCTTCATGTCATGCCAGAAGAGAATTATTATTATTATTATTATTATTATTATTATTATTATTATAACATTTCTATGCCGCCCCTTGCCGAAACCTCGGGGCGGCTTACAACATGATAAAATACATTGAAATACAATAGTACATAATAAATTACCATTAAATATAACAATACAAAAATACATTGATTTACAAATACAAAATTAAAATTATCAGTATAAAATAAAAATATAGGAGGAGAAAGAGAAGGAAGAAGAAGTTGCCCAGGCCAGATCATATGTTTTAACAATTGAAATGATGTTTAAATAAAAAGGTCTTTACCTGGCGCCGAAAAACCAGTAACGACGGTGCCAGGCGGACCTCTTTGGGGAGTGAATTCCATAGGTTGGGCGCCACCGCAGAGAAAGCCCTCCTCCGGGTACTTACTCTCCTAATTTCTTTCATGGAGGGTTCCCGGAGAAGGGACTCTCCCGCAGATCTCAAAGGGCGGTCGGGCATATACGGACGTAAGCGCTCGTTCAGGTAGCCAGGACCCAAGCCGTTTAGGGCTTTGTAGGTCATAATCAACACCTTGAATTGGGCCCGGGCTTCAATGGGAAGCCAGTGAAGCTGATGGAGGACTGGAGTCATGTAGGGGGGACACATGAGCCCTAGGCTCATGGTTATGATGCTAAACCATAGAGTCAGTGTTTGCCACAGAATACATGAAGTTTAGTGCATAAGATTGCATCTATCAACCTTCTGCTTACAGCATGCAACACAGCCATTTTTCTTTCATCACCTCCATGGTGCTAACCAAGCAAGCATTGTAACTATGGATACTTAGAATATGTTTTGAAAGGTGTAAATTACTGAATAATGGTGGAAACAAGACTATAAAGCAAAAGTTTTATTCCAAGTTTTAGCATTCAATCACACTGTCTTTGTGATCTAACACAATATAACACTGTCTTTGTGATCTAACACAATAGCAAAACTATTTTCACTGCTTTTATAAAGTTACATGATTGAAAATCTGAAGATCTTTACATTTTATATAGATATATTGCATTAAGTTAGCAATCCTATACCCACTGAATTATTTCTGAGTTGATATGAATAGTTTTGCAGAATTTTTAACAATTCTACCTTAATAAAGCATTATACATGACCTAATAAAGCACTATGTGTTGTTATCTCTTTGACACCAGGCAAGATCTTTTCATTTTAATTTAATGTCATTTAAATTTGCCAGGCTTATTCAAAAGCAAATGCATCACTGGATTTAGCACTGGATTTGTTTTTGTACTGTTTCATGTTTTTTGTAATTCTGTATTCAGCTTGTTGTTCCCCATCTGTATTTTCTTATCTATCAATTATGTGCTGACATGCTACCTAATTAATCCCCTGAGCATATGTTTCAGAGTTTGTTTCAGAAGTCCTACTGTCAATTCTATGCTAATAATTGTCTTTTATAGTACTCACATATTTTGAATTAGACTTTTTCCTCACCTTTTTTTTTCTTTTACATGACAGCTAGTAAATTGTATTGTGTCTATTAGAATGTCAGCAGCGACTGTTTTGTTCTTTAAGATACAATCCCACCATAATGCTTATAAGTCAGTGCAGACTGTGAGAAGCAGAGATGGAGATCTTTGTGTCCCCATCATCCTGCCTTGCAGTTATCACTAGATGACTATTTCTGTCCACCTCAGAGCAAGAAACGACAAAACTGAGGCTGTCATACTTCAGACACTTCATGAGAAGGCAAGACTCACTGGAGAAGACAATTATGTTAGGGAAAGTCAAAGGCAGATGAAGAAAAGGAAGACGAAATATGAGACAGATTGAATCCCTGAAGAAAGCCATGGCCTTGAACTTGGAGGAGCTGAATGGAGTTATTTATTAAACTTATATTCCGTTATATTGGCCCGAGGGCCCTCTATGCAGAGTTGTCATGAAGAGGGCATTTTGAAGGGCTTTCCTTCATAGGGTCACAATAGGTTGAAGACATAACAACAAAAAGTTGGGGATCTGAAATGGCTTCAGGATAACTTGTATACTGGCCTCTTAATCGACTTTCCTCTCTGTCCACCAAAATGCATCCTTTTATCCTTCTCTGAGGTCAATTTTCCATCCTTGGAGAGCAGCCCTTTCTACAGCAACAGTGAGAAAGTGGGGGAGGAAGGTTGGAATTCCAGTTCCCTGTTCTTAAGTCAGAGCACCTCTGATCTGGAAATTAAGAATAATCCTAAACCTCCTCAAGATGCTGACTGCGGGTGATGGGATTGTTCCCTTGAACCCTGTACTGGGAAGTACTGCGCTAAGAAAATGTTAAGTGTTACATCGCTGCTACTGTCCTATTTCATTGATGAAATAATGTTTGTGGGCCAATATGCTAAAATCTCTAAGCAGTGTGTATATAAAATATTAAACATCACAAAAGTATACTATTAGTAATCAATTACAACTACAGGAACAAAATAAATAAAGGAAAGCAATACGAAAACAGTAAAGCAGAGCAGTGGGAGGGTTGTTTGTTTTTTGTTTGTCTTTTTTGTTACTGGTTCAGAATGAGTTTTCAATTACCAAATTAGGGCCTTTCCAATTCCCAAAAATAGCTAGTACATTTATAGCAATTAGGATTGCTAGGGTTTGTCCTCAAATACACTTTGACACACTTGAGGCTGAAATAAGTTTATAAACACCATTGTTACTATTTATGCCTTGTCTTTCTGCCTCTTGCACAGAAATCACATTGGCCTACAAGTTCTCCTTTTCATCCTCACAACTGTGTGAGGTAAGTAAGGCTGAGAGTCTGTGACTGGCCCAAACTCCCTCAGCAAGGTTTATGATTAAGCTGGGTTTGGAACCCACATCAGCCGAGCCCCAGTCTCTGTAACCGTCATGCTACAACTAGCTCTCTGTTTACTTCTGGAAAACACATACAGAATTGCACTTAATATACAGACTGCAATCCTATACTCTATTTTCCAAGAGTAAGTTTGTATTCAGTGGAACTTTCATAGATTATGTATAAGATCCTGTTGTCTGCAGAAGTCAATCCAGTAACTGGTTCAGCCTGAAAGCTGCTCTGGAAGTTTTGGGTGGGGGCTGAAGAATGGAGGTTAAAATACTGTAAATAAGATGTTGATACCGGCTACTTTCTAAACAAGTGCATTATTAACTACACCCAGTATCCCTTTTGACACCCTATGCCCCATATTCAAGCATTATACAAAAGCTCAAACGACTCTGGACACGCAGGAGTGTGAAAAGTAGCTTGCGAAGTGGTTTGGAAGGCTGATGGTATTTAAATCCAAAGTAATTTCTATAATTTTAGCTATCATATCTTTATGCCACCTATTAACCAAGTCCTCTGTGCAGTATACAAATTTAGCAAAACCGGAAAAGGCAACACCCTGCACAGGTTTAAGTGTGTGTGTGGGGCGGAGGGTCGACTAGTCCTTGTTATGCCCGCCTTGCCCGTTACCCTGCTACTGCAGCCCGTCGCCGGCTTAACTGAACCTACGCAGGCTCCACCTTGGCCGCCTGCTGGCCGGGTCCTTCCTCCTCCTGAACTCTGACGGGAAATTTCGCACTCCCCGGAACAGACGAGAAAGCGTGGTTCTAGTCATCGGGGGCTTTCCTGCTCTTTACGCGCGGGCGCACCCAAGCCACCCGCAGAGCACGGGGAGGTGTTGCCCGCTCTCCGGGCAGGCGGGCGCCAGTGGATTCTGACGGCCCGTGGGAAAATGCGGTGGTTGGCGGCCGGGCTGCTCGTGGCCGCGCTGTTTGCGGGGGTAATAGACTGGTATAGCCCTTCGGGGCCACAGCAGGGGAGCGTGGAAGCCCGCTCTTTCGCCGCCGAGCCGGTGCCCGGAGCTAAAGCCGACAAGCTCTTTTGGATAGTTCAGGCAAGTCCACCGATTGACTAGCCCGCTACTTCCGGTAGAAATCTGACCCGCTGTTGGTAACAGAGGTAAAACCTTAGCAATGACTTAAACAATCGGGCAACCGTGATCTTACCTGTTATCCGTAATAAAATATATAGCTATCCAAAAGCCTTACTGTATTTTTCAGACATTGCTTTTAATTTTTTAAACAAGAGAGATAAGCGGTGCTTGACCTGGTTGTTTGCAACAGGAGAAAGGTATTCAATATGTAGTGTGCTGTCAGAAACAAATTTGTCTGCAAATATTGCTTGAGTGTGTCTTGCTGTAATGGTGAATATGTCAGGTGGACTTTGGTGGTATTAGTGATAAGGTAACTAGTTCTTTCCAGAAATAAAAATGTAAAGCTAATGCTGATTTTTATTTTAATATACATGCATGTAAAGGAGCTGGGTCAGTACTGCCTTTGGGTTTGTGAGACATTCAAAAGTGCTGGTTATGAAATTAAGCTTTTTTTTTGTAGGTATCGGATATTCACATCAGTAAATTTCTGGACCCTAAACGAGTTTCTGATTTTGAAAGGTTCTGTGTGGAAACAATTCCTGTAATTCAGCCTGCACTTGTTTTAGTAACAGGTGAGGTATAACTCTTCTCCCTTTACCTCTATTCCTACTCTAATTTATTTGTGGAATGTATTACAGTTCTCTGAGCTTGAATCTTGGACATAACATAAATAATGCTAGCTAGTCCTGGATTTGAAATAAAAACTCCAGCCTTGTCACTTAGGAATTTCCGTTTAGGAATGGGTGACTCAGATAACTGGCCAGGGAATTCCTAGACATAGGAATTAATCCAGACATATTTTCAGTAATCATTCCTATGCTTCTCTTTCCTCCACCCCCTCCACCTGTTCAATCTTTGCTTAAGTCTTATTTTCTATTGAATTTCAATGTCTGGGTTCCCAACCCCTTGTTGGTTTTGATGATTTGCTGAGAGGCCTTGATATTCTCAAGTTTCTGTCATAGTTCATATGGCAATCAGAAAAAAGGCTGAGACACCTTGCCTGGAGAGGTGGCACTGGCTGTCTTCCTGTACTTCTGGTTGATCCTGGACATAGTATCCTTGTGGACCTAGTCGCCTCCTCTCCTCACCTCTTTAGCCTTTCTCTGAAGTCAGTCTTACTACCACAGAGTAAGTAATAAGATGGACCTCGTAGTTCTTTCCATGCTGGCTTGAGGGGAAAGGACATTCAAGCATGGAATTCCAACTCTAATGTCAGATTAGGAATCCAAAGCATCCAACAGCTCTGTAAATGCTTTTGTGGGTGCATTGGATGGCTCTGCTTGTTGATTTATTTTTAACGTATTTATAACTTTCTCTTTCCCATGGATTTAGGGCCACTTGCAAGTATTAAGTCTGGATAGCTTGAGGAAAGAGTGTGAAACAAAAATACAGTGTTATTTGCTTAGATGTAATTATAGTTAAACATACAGTGGTACCTTGGCTCATGACTCTGGTCGCAACCCAAACTGGTCGTGAGCCAAGTCAAATTTCCCCATAAGGTTCAATGTAAATAAAGTTAAAATGTTCTGTAAATATTTTTTTAATCACAGGGAAGATCAATGCACGATCACGATTGTCACCCCATGCGAAGTTCACAACCTGCAGGAAAATTTTTATGAAATTTCTGCTTGCAACCTGATTTGGTCATGAACTGAGGCATTTGTGAGCCGAGGTACCACTGTATCTTGTTATAAGTTGGTTTGGGGGTTGCATCAAGCAGAAAACAGGATTTTAAGAAATAGACACTGAGTAAATTAGGATGCAAAATCAGACATGATACAAAAGACTTGGGTAATGATGATACTATACAGTACTTGAAAATGGGCTAACATATTATCTTGCTATATGAGACTGAATCACATCTTAGTGGAAATACCCGGAGATAAAGAACAATTGCTCACCATTTCCTGCTAATCTCAGAACTAGAAATATGTGTTAGTTAAAAGACTGTTATTAAAATGGGACTGTCACCCTCCCCTCAGGGACCTAATTGAGCCAGTGTGGCACAGTGGTTAAGAGCGTGGGACTGGGACTCAGGCGATCCGGGTTTGAGTCCCTGCTCGGCCATGGAGCCAACTGGGTGACTCTGGGCCAGTCACAGACACTCAGCCCAACCCACCTCACAGGGTTGTTGTTGTGGAGATAAGATGGAGGAGGAGATGTAAGCTGCCTTGAGCCTTTTGTAGGAAAAAGGCAGGATATAAATCGAAATAATAAATAAATAAATAAATAATTCAGCCAAGGCACCTCACTTTACATTTGAGAATATTTAAGAAACAAAACTGCCTGTGTCAAAGATGAAATATTGAATTTATTGAATATGATGACATATGGCTGCAAAATAAAAACAAGAGAAAGAAAGCCTATATTTCTCTTTTCTGTGGCTGTATTGGTTCCCTGGATAGGCCAGAGATGCTCCATGGGCCTCCAAAGTTGTCTGGGTGAGTGATGTGCCATTTTCTCTCTCCATGCTGGGAATGAAAGACAACACCTGTGGCCATTGATTTTATAGTGTTGTTTGCTTCCACTATGGCCAAACCTGTCAGTATGGAGGGAGGCCTTCCTGGAAGCATAGCTACTTCAGGGGGCAAACAGCTTCATGTTTACAGCAAGGGCATCTTTTATGTACAGAATGACTGGGAAAGACAGCTTCAAAGTAATAATCTCTGGTCTTCTCTGTAGGAAGCTGAAGTCCATAAGGCCTTGGTGTGGCTTCAGTAAACCATCTTGGCTTATACACACTGGGAAATTCTACTTGTTGTACCTTGAAGACCTCTTCGCCATTCTTCTGGCAGAGTTCATACATCCCCTTCCCCACACCATACACAGAGCTAGGCACCACCATAGTGATCTGAGAAATACTGTTGTGCAATGGGTGAATGTGCATGGGCCTGGTTCACAAGGCATGTCAATATTTACTCATCCTGCAGCATCTGGGAAAGCTGGTTGTGGCCTGTGGAGGTATAGAATATATGAATGTCTAGATAGCATACATTAAGATCTTTTGAGAGGGTTCTTGGCAATATCAGTTGTAGGTCAGCACTGCCTGTACAGGATCTAAACACTGCTGGTTACTTGATCAGTATTTTCTTTACGTCGAATTCCTTTGCTGTGCATTTCTTCCATGTATTATGCAGATTGTGTTCATTAACAGGTGATGTGACTGATGGAAAAACAAAGGATCAACTTGGGTCTGATCAGATTGAGGTGGAATGGCAGACTTATCAGACAATCCTAAAAAGGTCTAAGGTCATGGAGAAAACCAAATGGATAGACATAAAAGGGAATCATGGTAATTATTATCATTGTTATTTTTACTGCTACTACTACTACTATTATTGTAATATTTAATGTATGCAGTCCTTCTTACAGCAAAAAGCAGTCCCAAAATGACTTACATTCATTAACTCTATACTTGATATCATAGAGGAAGATGGAATTACTATAAACCATAATAAGCACACTAATAGAAATAAAACTAAATATTGTAAAAAACATAATCCAGACCAATACCTTATGAAAACTGTTCCTCCATTTATTTATCTATCTATCTATCTATCTATCTATCTATCCATCCATCCATCCATCCATCCATCCTCGGGACGGCTTCCAACATAATAAATAAACAATCATATACATAGATACATATAAAATCTGGAATCACCCTGGCTATAAAAATTTAAAACCAATAAATAATATTAACAATTGTTAAAATATCGTTTAAATGAAAAGATCTTGGCCTGGCGCCAAAAAACAAATAACGACGGTGCCAGGCAGACCTTTCTGGGGAGCACAGTCCATACGTGGGGCGCTACCGCAGAGAAAGCCCTCCTCCGGGTACTTACTCTCCTAATATCTTTCACAGAGGGTTCCCGGAGGAGGGCCTCTGCCGCCAATCTCAAGGGGCAGGAGGGCAAATATGGAAGCAGGCATTCCTTTAGATATCCAGGACCCAAGCCATTAAGGGCTTTGTAGGTGATAACCAGCACCTTGAATTGGGCCCGGACTTTGATGGGGAGCCAGTGAAGTTGGTAGAGGACTGGGGTTATGTGAGAATAACACCCAGTCCCCGTCAGCAACCTGGCTGCTCTGTTTTGCGCCATCTGAAGTATCCGGACTGTCTTCAAGGGCAGCCCCACGTAGAGTGCATTACAGAAGTCCAATCGGGAAGTAACCACTGCATGTGTCACTGTCGCCAGGCAATCGTCCTCCAGGTAGGGATGCAGCTGATTGATCAACCAAAGCTGAAGGAAAGCGCTCCTCACCACCGCAGTCACTTGAGCTTCCAAAGACAGCTCTGAGTCGAGGAGCACTCCCAAGCTCCGGACCCTGTCCTTTAGAGGGAGTGCAACCCCATTCAGGACAAGGTCCAAGTCACCTACCTCGGAGCCCAAACTACCCACCAACAGGACCTCTGTCTTGTCTGGATTGAGTTAAAGTTTATTGACCCTCATCCAGCCCATTACCATGAATACCTAGAATCTACCCCTTCTCACAGCTTAGAATGAATATCACAAAAACAGCTCACAGCAAGTGTGCCAAGAATTTAGAGCTGGGATTTTCATTTGTTCTGCATCAGTGGAGAGCACCAGATAGCCTGCTACTTACATCTCTAATATAATTATAATGTGCCTTTATCTATACTTGAACGGTAGCCCACTTTGGATGCCAATGCTTGCTGGAAGGTAGGATAAAATATAACAAAATGAGTGTAGATCAAATAGTATTTAATTGTTTTGGTATTATTCCATAGCAATTCACTTAGTATCTGATGCCTAGTGAGAAGATTCTTAATTAATAATGATCATTTTTCCAAAGTAAAACCATGTTAGTGCATTTATATTGTAGAGTAAATCTTTTTACCTAAGTCTAACGGGAACAAAGACTTGATCCTACATCTTCTCAAGTTCAAACTACCATTGTTCTCAATCTAGACTACTCCTTCTTCCATTCCTTAATATGATCTAAAACATTATTTGCCATTTTCATTGTAGATACATTCAATGTTCCAAACCTGGAGAGTGTCAACAATTACTACAGGTAGGTCAGTGTGTTATGCTGAGTTGAGCAGTCCAGAAGGCATTTCAGTTGTGTGGTGCATACAAGGAATATATACTAGGACAAGTTGCTTTATTTGTGTAATCTAGCAAATAAGCATTTAGTAGACAGCTTACCTGTATCATTCCTTTCTCTTTCCTGCTGCTTTTATAACTTCCATGCAGCTTTACTTCTTGGCCTTTTGAAGGTAGGAGAGTGAGAATTCTAATTACATAATATGTAATTTCATGTCTACAGTGTTTTAAATTATTACTGATCTCAGGACAAATGCAATTCTTTATCCCCTTCTTTCACCACCCCAGGAATTTTAATGGGAAAGTGTGTATTTATATTGTTAATTTTATATTGTTAATTTATATTATTTAATTGATTTATGTTGTGAGCCGCCCCGAGGCTTCGGCGAATGGGGTGGCATAGAAATTTTCTAAATAAATAAATATTTAATTGTCTTTCACAATTTCCTTGTTCTGGACTTTTCTAATACAATATTCCCATCTTTTTGACAGAAAATACTCTGCCTGGAAGAAAGATGGTTCCTTCCATTATATGCACCGTACACCTTTTGGCAAATATTCTTTCATCTGTGTGGATGCAACTCTCAGTCCAGGCCTCAAGAAACCCTACAATTTCTTTGGGATCTTAAATGCGGTAACATAAAAAAGACTTCATTCCAGCACTACTTTGTCTTCTTATGTGGCCAGTAAAACCTTGACGTTATTTGTTAAAAGATACCTGCATGTATACTAAATCTGTATGAAATCTTCAGAATAGTAGTTGAATAATTTGTCTTATAACACTGTTCATTATGGTTTTGCTTTCTTCCTGTTTTGATATCTCCAAATTAGCCTGTCAAATTTCATATTGTTATATAATAATTTCAAGGATGAAGTGCTTTTCTTGATTTGGGATCACTGGGCATTTATAGCATTTTGTAATATTTGAGTTTATTTATTGCTATGCAGGTGGAGGCAAACTATCATTTCAACAAAACAAAGTACACTGCACCATATTAGGTTTATGCAGAGGCACCCCTTAATCCCTAGATCCTGTTAAATAGGTTTTTTTCACACAGAAACCTACATTGGATCATCTTCAGCTAGGAAAGATTGCCCCCCTAGTCCCTTTTTTTTATTACACAACAATCTTCTAAGAATTATTGTTAGAATTCTATTATTCTTATTTACTGAATTCCTGGGTTGCTTCCCACCACCAGAAACAGTCTCAAAGTGTCTTAAAATTAGTTTCCATGTGAGTGGCTTCACCTGACTATCCAAAGCTATTAACATTACTTTGTCAGGAAAGGTTCAATTACTTTTAGGCAAGCCCACAGCAATAGTAGCAAAAATCTGATAGCAAACTCCATAACAATATTATTCTTACTGATTTGGAAATTAGTGTTTTTGTAGAATTTCAGGTCTAGACTGGAATGTTTATTTTGCATTTCTCTGTTTCCCTGCAAAATTTATTACATTTAAATCATGTAGCTGCCTTACAAGAAAGATGTGCTCAAAATAGTCAGTACTAAGGAAGTACTAAGAAGACAGACAGAGGAACATATTTGTGTTAAGTCCTAACCTTTTAGGATCATTGTTTTCTTTTTCCAATAATGGACCTCTTGTGATAGTACTTAAAGATCAGACCTACTTCATAATTTCACATGGACTCTAATATACGTACAAGGAGCTCCTGAGAAATTAGGGTTGCCCTTTCACCTTAGCAGGGAAAGTATTCATGGTCTTAATAAGGTGGGGAAAGGCAGGGGTGATGCTTTCTCTCAGCTGTGCCCACCTGGGTACTTGGTGGAGCACCAGCGTCGTCTGGAGGGCCGGGGAGGGTGGGGTGGCAATGGTCTATAAAAACACGCTTTCTCTCACCAGACTTCCAGTCCAAGCAGGCCAGGTTTGAGTGTTTATACCTGACTTTGTACACTCAGGACCGATTAGGGATTTTGTTGTAGAGCCCAAATTGCTGCCCAGCAATCTCCTTGCCTGAGCTGATAGTTGTAGTCTCAGACCTGGTGTTGAAGACACCCAGAATTTTCTGGGGGACCTGAAAATTCATGCCAAGACCACTCTGTCTGGGACAGCTCAGGACTTCTTGGTCATCATGACAACCATGGGACTGGCTCAACATGTCACTGGCCCAATGCCTAAAATGGGGCACACGTTGGACCTGGTTTTTTCGACATATCTGGAAGATGGTGGTTCAGATGTGGAGGGATTAACTTTAACTCCACTGTCATGGTTTGACCATTTTCTGGTGTGGTTTTGCCTATTGGCACCATTTTCCCTCTGCAATGGTGCAGGACCTATTAAGATGGTCCACCCCCAGAGACTGATGGATCCAGAGGATTTCCAGAGATCTCTGGAGGAATATCCAGCTGACATGATTGGCACTTCTGTCAAAGCCTAAGTTGTTCAATGGAATGCAGAGAAGACTCAGGCAGTTGACACAATTGTTCCTAAGCATCCTCTTCTTTCTCGTGGAGCCCAGCCAGTTCCATGGTATACAACTGAGCTCAGGGTGATGAAACAAGAGGGGAGATGACTAGGTAAGAGCGTAGGTGGATGAGAATTTAAAAAATTTCACCTAAATAGCACTAACAGTTTTATTATTCATTTTTTTACCAAAAAAATAGCCAGAGCTGCAGAAGTCTGGCGATACAGAAATGTGAATTTGCGTGGGTGCAGGAATGGGAAGCCTTACCTGCATGCCTGTTTGAAAATGCAACAAGTTCCAACCATGCTCTCAATGTTTTTGTTTCTCATTTTGCTCTGTCGTGACAGCTGCCAAAAGGCAAGCTGTCAATTCAAAGCAAAGGCACAAGTGATCTTTTCTCACAAAAAGGGGGTGGAGAGATTTATCCCTGATTGGCACTGGGACCCTCAGGGTTTTTTGTGTTCCCATTGTCAGTCCCAGCACCACCAACTTTTACACCCGTTTCTGAGACTAGGTAGATAGAAAGGTGCAGCTTGGGATGATAGGAAAGTGTACTAAAAGTCTTGCTGTCGTTCTTTCATTTCAGAATAAAATGGAAGAGCTGTCTTCACTGGCTGCAGGAAGTCGTGACAGCAACCACTCCATTTGGTTTGGACACTATCCCACCTCCTCAATCATCTCTAGTTCTCCAGGAATTCGAATGGCAATGCGGTAATACTTCTCTTCTTCGGTTGAAATGTATTTGTTGCTATTCTAATTTAAAAATCTAGGAATAAGTTGATTTTAGCCTATATTTTTAATTAGTTAGCAGTTAGAATTTCTTTTCCAAAATCAGCAATAACCATGATCTTTTTGATTAGCTCTGCCACTGCTTATTTGTGTGGGCACTTCCATACATTGGGTGGTCTGATGCCAGCCCTACATACTCGTCATCAGCATGGCACTTTGGAACTGGAACTGGGTGACTGGAAGTATAACAGGAAGTAAGTAAATTTTCATTTCACAAGTAATGTTAATTAACAGTACCATAGAACACCATGAAATAAATACTGGAATCTTTTTTACTTGAAAAATTGTAAGTCATCTAATTAAAAGGAACAGCTTACATGCAAAGCATGGGTCTCCACAGGAGCCCTTGGAGAACCCTTGTATGAGTTTTTAGCCCTTGCATGAGGTAAAATGTGCTACTGGTATTCTGCCTGTTTGCTTTGTGTTTCAGAGCCTTTAGCTAACATATTAAGTCATAACAATGGTTAACACACCTGTTATCTGGAGAAGAAACTTCCTGGATCAATTTTCAGACATTTGGGGATCTTTCCTGTTAGGAATTAATTTAAATCTCATTTTTAAAAGAATGTAGAAATTCAGGACTCTTGTGTAGCTGAGATTGGGTAGCAGTGTGGGTACCAAAAAACAAAAGGTATCTGGTGAAGTCCTTTTACAAGCTCAAACAGCGCTGGTGGAATTCCAGTGGAAATCTGAACCTTCCCATTGTGCAGCTGGTTGTTCATTATACGTGTTCAACTGGTTGTATAACTGCTAGTGCAAGTGGTTATATAAGTGGCTGTGAATGTGGAATGCACAGCTGGTTAGAACAACAGATATGTGCGGTTGATCACACAGCACTTTGTGCAAGTTAAATGCACAACTGCTTGTGCAACCATGCTTATGTAAAAGTAATGTTAATTGCATTCTCCATTTGTGCTAACAGAATGGTTGGATACTGCCCAAAGCTGGCCAGAAAGAATTCATGAGATTTCTAACTCAGCTCTAGGTTTTTTTTCATCTTTATAGTTGTTAAAAAGTAAACTTTAGGTATGTAGGAAAACAGAAAAGTGAGAGCCAGACCCTTTTACAGGGAACTGGCACTTTGACAGTGTTGACAGCTATGTCTGCATATCTTCCTGTGAAGAATCTGTGGGGAGCCCTTTCAAATTAAACCACTTTAAAAGAAACTAGAGTTTGACAACTAGTACAAAGATGAAAGAGAGACACAGAGAAAGAATCTTGCTGGGAAGGGGATATAAATTCTACCACATTCATTTCATGAGGCTAGATCACTTGTGCCTTTGTTTCCTTTTGACAGCTTATTTTTTGACAGCTGTCAAGAGAAGCCAAAGGGAAGAGGGGGGATTATTTGGAGACTTTCTGCATCAATGTTCAGGGTTTGCATCTATTGTATTCCCCAGGACATTGACCCAGCCAAGTCTTCCAATTGCCATACTTGTGGAACTGTGCTTCCTGGTTTTAGAAAACAGGAAAAAAACTGTTTCCCAACTACCAACAGCCTCTCCTATGTGATGTTTGGGCAATTTGAACAGATTATTGGTGTTAGTCAGAATGGAGATTGAGAAAGCCAACTGTCAATCTGGAAATTTTTGAATTGTGAAAACAAAAGTTAAAAGTAGAAAAAGCCACAGCAAGCTGGAATGGCTTGTGATCTGAAGAGGGGGCATCCAGCCAGTGCCAGGCACCCACTCATGCTGCCTGAGTGTGATTGGCACTGCTGAGTGCCCAGGCAAGCTTGGCAAGAGTAGCAAAGAAGTTTTGTCTCTTTTGCCAAGCAAGTTTCAGGCCAGTTCCTCATACCCATCTTGGGGTTTATTGCCCAGGCTCAAGCAACACAATAACCCATTGTCGGTTTGGCAATCCCTAAAACAAGCTATGGTTGTTATGGTGACTTGTTGCCTTCGGACAAGATACCCTATGGAAATCAGACTGCATTCATACAACATAAGAATCCATTGTGGGTGACAACTCATGATTGGTTGTCATGTTATGAAAACCCAGTCAAGTCATGAATTAAACTACCCATTAACAATGTCATGCTGTGCTGTGTGTGAGCAGGTGGGCATGCTGTCTTCTGACTGCTCATCACTTGCACTTTGTACCTGCTTTTTGAAAACCCCCGTTCCTGCATTTATTTCTTTATTATGCTTCAGTCTTGCCCACCAGCCATACCTTTCTGGGCAGAAAACAAAGTTAAAACAATAAAATACAGTGACTTATTAAAAATGTAGAATAAAAATATAAATTTAAAGCAGAATACAACCAAATATAACCAAATACAATTAAGATCAAAGCCAGCTACAGTGGAAAGATCCAAAAGCACAATGGAAGTCTGGGTTGTTGGGTGTTAAACAACCCAGAGATTTAATCAAACAACAACTCATAGCTTTAACTTTGGCTGGTTTAACCCTCAGTGATCCAAAATGCCAGATTTAGGCATCATTCCTAACAATCCGAGAATGGGGTTTCCTGGATTGTTTCAGACAGCAGATGCAAAGTGGAAGCAATGAGCAGGCAAGAAGCAGCGTGTTCGCACTTGGCTTCAACAATCCGGGAGTGGTTGTTACATGCAAAGCAGGCCATTTTCTCAGACTGCTGTTCTTCTCTTGTTTAAAAATAAATCTAATTGATAACTATAGCAAACAAAAATGAAGAAAAATTGGCTGGTGCAGGAGATCAGATCAAGCCATCATCTTGTAATCTAGAAAGCAGATAAGCTTCAATTAAATAAAAGCAAAGAGAACTAAAGAAATAATTTAAATTGTATAACCAGATAATAGAAATCTTCTGTCACTTAGAATATTCTTTGGTAACTAAAACGGTATTGTTCTAATTGCTGAATATCAGGTACCGGATTCTGGCTTTCGATCATGACCTTTTCAGCTTTGCTGACCTGCGGTTTGAGGAATGGCCTGTAGTTCTTATCACCAATCCCAAGTCATTCCTTTATAGCAGCTCTGCTCATGAACCATTACAAAGAATCCTCCATTCTACCCATATCAGGTGAGCTAATGTATTTTTAGACATTTTAAAGAAATGTTTCTTGCATATATGCAGCTGTTTGTATCTGCATATTAACACAGTAAATTATTTCAAATTTGAACTTATTATAAATGACTGGTTCAACAGGTCATATTGTGTTGCATCTCTTAACCTATTTCTTAAGTATTTTAACAGTGTCATAGGATAAACTTTTAAGGAATTTCAAAACTTATTTTTAAATTAATACTACAAAGTGTACAAGCAAATTCTTTTATCTGATTCCAGAGTCTCTCTCCTATTCATCTCAGAGACATATCTGCCTCCCACATTGTCAAAGGATAAACACCCTATTATGCCTCATTTGAGAGTCAGTCTTGTATGAGGAATAAGAATGTAATAGTGGTGATACCATCTTAACAAGTTCCACAATGTATACTAGGTTTGTTCTTTTTTTACTCAGAATTTTGGCCTTCTCTCCTTCTCCTATCAAGTTTGTCAAAGTCAATATTGATGGTGTTCATTTCGGGAATGCTTCTAAGGCATCTGGACCACTCTACGTACTGAAATGGGTCCCCCAAGACTATAGTCAAGGGTTTCATGAGATAAGTGTAACAGTTCAGGTGAGCTCTGTGCTACTCTTATCATTCTATAATGCTTCTCATAATCTTCAACTGAAAAATGTATTTAAGAACATTTTTGACTTGGAAAAGCTAGGTGAATTCCTGCTTATCCTTAATCACTCAGGGAACATCCTTGGGCAAATTATACTGAAAGAGCTGTTCAGAGAATGGGTGAGAGAAGGTAGTCCTTTGTATTGTTTCCCAAGATGTCTGTTGCTCTCTAGCAAATCCAAGAAAATAGAGTTAACACAGACATAATCAGGCTTGAATCTAATGGCTGAGTCTTCAGAGCCCAGTTTTGCCTTCATGCCTTTGAGTCAAAACCTGAACCATGTCTGAGTGGATCCCAGGCAAGGCGCCAGCTGTGTAGATCTCCCAGTGACTTTATCAAGCAGTAAAACAGCTGTTGAGAGCAATGATATGGACTGGTGGTAGCAGCAGCAGCCCCTTTTGGCAATACCTGGTCTGAGAGGAAGAGCAGTCATGATAAGTGGCAGCAGTTGCACTGTCAAAAGAGGCCATCTCTGAGAGTATTGATAACTCCTCTTAGTACTACCCGGCACTAAAAAGTTAAGTTGCTGACTATGTGGCAAGAACTGCCCCCATCTTAGTTGCCCAGAATGCCTGTAGACCCCAACATAGCATTGCAGAGTAACACTGCATTATGGGCAGGACCAAGAATCACTCTGGGAAAAGTAAATTGTTGATGGTTTTAGCCAGGTATCCCAGTGGTCTTCCCAAACCCTAAAATAAAATCAAAAGTAATAGCTTTAGTATTACTGTTGGGTCCTCTGGAGTTTTGGGGCTTCAGTATTTGCCCGTGGGTGGAAAGTGCTGACTCTGGGCCTTCTCTGAATATACCCCTTTTCTTTCTTCCACAGGAGTAGATTGTCTCTGATAAGGAAAAGATAAAGTGTTGCACAGTGGGGCCCTGTTGCTATGAGAACAAAACCTGGCCTCTGCCCATCTCTTGGAGTAGCCAACCCTTCACTGACAGAGACCTAGGGTTCTTGCAAAATAAAAGTCTGTTTTCCATAGACACCCTGCCCATAATAATGATAGACATTTTAATACTGATGATAGTAGTCACACTGCCTTCACATACTGAATGTCTCATTTCTTCTTTGTGTTCCATTTTTAGGATGCCAGTGGTAAGAGTACTACTCAGTTTCATAAATTTGCTATGGACGAAAACCTCTCTCTCAAATTTGGATTTCTGGAATCTTGGCTTCTTCTTACTGATCACCATATATGGGTGAGTATTCGCAGGGGGTGGGGAGAACACTATATATATAGTCATATTCTAGGAGCCACATACCAAATGTTATATGTTAGCAAAAATACCAATTAAACTTTAAAATGATGAATTGCAGATCTGCTCTGCTGAAGCTTCTGCTTTTCCCTCTCTCTCTTTGCAAATAATAAGTACGCATTTCAAAGTTACTAACATATTAGAATACTAGCATATGGCAGCTTTGTTTCATTTGGAAAATCACTGGAGGCTTATTGGCATCTTGTAATACTTACATTTAATTTACAAATTTACAAGCGGAACATAGCAGAGGCACAGCTTAAATTGCCAGAAAGCCAACATGCACTACTCCCACATTAGATCTCCAGGGAGATTCTAACAGTGCAGCCTTATACATGTCTGCTCAGAAGTAATGTCCAGTAATGTGTTCAGTGCTATAGTATATACAGACACCTGTGGATAAGTCCCTTTACACTCAGTACAATGGACTTCTGTGAAGGAATGCATAGGATTGCACTGAAGAATAGCTGACATGCACACTTCAGAGTCAGGCACTTTCTTGAGATATAAAATATTGTGTGAAGCATATATAAAATATATTTTGACCAGTCAAAACTCATGCTTTTGTTTACAGAATTCTGTTCAAAGCATGTGGGCTGATTTTCTGATGGCTGATAGTGGTTAGCAATCAAACATTAGAATCAGCTAAAACAAAAAAATCATAAACAATAAAATCCAGTAACACAGATTAGTAACAGAAACCTTAACTCCCCTCAACACATAGAAAGGAAAATTCTCATCCTATCCAGAACCGTTTTGACACTACCAGCGTTTGAAACTCAAGGAGCGCACTGGCACATTAGTTACTATATATGATTTACTTGATACAATAGTGGGGGGGTTTAGCATTTTTCTTTTCTGTTTCAGGTTCAAGTAGTGTTTGCACTAATGGTTATAGCTCAAATTGTCTTGCTGATAATTTTCCGGTATCGAGGAAAGCCTACACTTAAAAGTAAGAGCTTATTATTCTTAAATGCATCTTTGATCCCCCTTGCTTATACGTTATGTACATAGTGTTTAGTTGAAAGCATTCACTTACACAGCAATCTTATGATGCCTATACAGTTTCTAGACAACTGTAAGATTAGTCAGAGACCCAACTCTGAGGATGAAAAAGTGCTTCAACCAATTCTAGCTTCCAGGCCTTCACTTTTTGCTGTTGCACATTGTATGATCCATAGTTTGGTAGGGCAAATTGGGCTACATATTAGTTATACTGAAACTGAATCTAGGCAATGTTGAAGAGCTAATAGGCTTAGTAACTGAGATGGATATAGGATACCAGTCATAGAAAGGAAAGGCCAAACCAGATGGAATTTGGCCTTTAGTGGTTGCCCAGCTGTATACTATTCCTATGCCTGGAATTTCAGTTTTTAGTAATGGTGAAAAGTTCTTTTGGCCAATTTCATCTTGTGAAATAATTGAAAGCATTTGTTTTACATTCCTACCATGTGGAAGTCAATTTCCAGGTTTTGCACAGTTATGGAGGGGAAATAAGCCATGATGGCATATTTTGCCTTCCTGCACTTGCTGGTCATGAGCCATCTAATTATCATAATGACCCTCACTGGGCCCAGGTTGTCCTAACATCTAAGCCTAGTAAGGGTGGCTGGCTGGGGTTGTTTCCAACCTACCCTGGCACCTCAGAACAAGCTAATGATGATTAGGTGGCTTGCAACCAGGACACAGAGGGAGGCAAAATAAGTCCATCTGCCCAATATTTGTCCTTTATGGAATTTGTGGTTCTAGTGTGTTCTGGAAACTGCAGGTAGTTCAGAATAAACTGGCCTGCTTCTTGACAGGTTTGGATGCCAGGGGTGCGCTACACAACTCTTCCAAGAGGTTACACTGACCTGAGTTCTCTAGGCACATTTCAGGTTATTCAGTTGACCTAGAAAGACCCAAAAGCTTTGGACTTTCTAAGCTGAGAAGCCAACTTTTCCCAATATCTTGTTTCTAAAATTCACTTTCTGGATGCTAAGGGTGAACAAAACAGGCAGTGCTGTTGGTTGCTCCATGATTACAGAATTCTTTCATGTGAACTCTGATTTGTTTCTAGTGGAATTTTCCAAAGATGTAAGTCCTTTTCAGTTGGTCTCAGAATAGCCCTTCTTAGCTCTAAGATGGTATCAAAGGATGGTATCAGAGAAAATAGGATTCTATCGTTTCAATAAATGGGGTTTATCTTATTTTTATCTGAGTATTTTTACTTTAAATGTAACTACTCAAAGCCTTTAAGAAAATGTGAAATACACACCCAAACATCTTGCATGGGATTTGGGTACCTGTCACAGTTTCCTTGAACAAGTTCCCATTCACATCAATGAATGAACTTCCTTTTGACTTTGCTGCGGAATTTATCACTCTGTAAAAAAGCACTTCTTATGTGTTTTAAACAATAGTAAACTTTTTTTCTGAAATGGCTTGTTCTTTCCCATTTAGGACCTCTGAGCATGGCAGCACATACCACTCTTTCTCTTCACATCCTGAGCAAGACAAACTTCTTCTATTACTGGTTTATTCTGTTGAGTGTGTATACTGCTCTAGGTAAGATGGAAACAGTGAAACATGATTTCACTGACATCCTAATTGTGTTTCTAGCTCAAAGCCCTAAAGATGTTGTACTCTACTCTTTTTAATAGAACTTTAAATCTGTTTTTAAATGTTTTTGCATTCTCTAAAACTTTCCATACAACTTGAATGTGAGCAACAAACAAACAAGAAAATACACAGTACCAAAATTTTAATTTAAATTGAACAGTTTAAAATAGAGTGACAGTTATTGATCTGTGGAAGTCAATTTGCAGGTAATAATTTTTTAGGTATCAGTATCAGATAAGGGTATTTTATAATTTGGCAAGCTACAGATTTTTCTAATCAGCAGTGGTATTGAGTGGTGACCCCTGATTGTCTGTAATACTAAAGCATATGGCAAGGCCTTGTCCTACTGTGAAAGCAGCAGCATCACACAAAACTGAGAGCTGGCTGACTGTTGAATTCACATTAACTTGTACGTGATGCAAAAAATATGGCGCCTTTTAAAGTACTTATTCTTCCTCTTATTGTTAGTTTTAGCATTTCTATGGCACTTCCAGTTTAGCAACTTAGAATCTTATGTTTGTTTTCTCCTAACAACCCTAATTTTGCAGAGTAGTCCATGGCGGAGGAGGAGTCACAGATTGAGATCTAAATGTAGCTGTTCAAAAATGCCTATTGGAGAACAAGTTTTAATTTAAATTAATTTTAGATACCTCTATCTCATCTTACCTTGTGCAGTTCAGGGAAGCTAACTACAGAAATCATAGAATATCATATAAAATACCATAAATTTAAGGTCCACTTTCTGCCTATATTCACTATCTACACATTGAATGAGTTACTACTTAGCAGATATCCTTATTTACAAGAGCATCTTATCCAGTTAGCTAGTGTTATTACAATGACTAATTTGAAGCACTTGATGGTGATACTTGAACAAATAAATATTTTTTCTTTAATGTGGGACAGCCTTTGGAAGCTAGGCAAGTGCCTATTATTCTTGTATTTACATTCCATATATAAAACATTTCTTCCCTACAGGACCCTGGTTTATTGGTGCAATGATAGATGGTCATTTAGGCGCCTGTTTTTCCTTTGGGGTAGTTCTTGATGGCCACTTCTTTGAAGGAAGTATAACCTTTCTAGTTGGAATTATGCAGGTAGGAGTCTCAATATAATGTTTGAGATACTTTGGCATTTTTCTAAGCATTTAAGTTGTTTTGAAAACTGTTTGAACTGTTTTCTAAATAGTTGAAAGTTCATTTGTGCAGCTCTTGAAAAATTCTGTGTTGGCTGTGGCTATCTGACATGGATACACTTTGGACTAGTGGTTCTGATGTCACTGATGGCAGCTCATTTCTCCACTGCTGATAGCTTTTTTGTACAGGTTTAATCTTCAGAGGAACTTCCTGCTAAGCTTTGAGCTCCTTCAAGTTAGATAAAATCACTGGTGAATAGCAGCAAAGTCAATTCTCCACTCCTTTTGTAGTACATCTAACGTCTTTTCATGGATTTCTTAAGTTGAAACTTGTGACCTACCATTACGTTATAACTGCAGCATTTATAAAGACATAAATGACTTTCATTTCCCATCACTTGTCTTGCAATACACAGCTCTTAATCAGTGGACATGGGGAGAGGGTATTTTTCAAAATCCTGTCAATTTTGCTGTTTCTTGATCAAACAGCTGAACTCTGCTGCAAGGTATTCCCTGCCCTGCCTTGATCCTGCACTTTCCCTTTCCACAGGATTCTGTGGATTACAAAATTGTACTAAGGATAAGTGCTGTGGAGGATTGTAGGATAAAAATTAGGCAGGGCAACATTTTGAAATCATTGTATGGAGAATCATAAAATGATACAGTTGGAAAGGGCCTAGAAGTCTCCAATCCAGATTCTAACCATGTCTCATCCCTGCTTAGGCACTTTAGGCTATTTGGAAGATAGTGTCATTTCAAATTTCCCAGCAGTGGGAACATTGTCTACATGCCACCAGCCTTTCTTGCTCTTTCTTCAGTTACTAGTTAGTGAGCAGTATATGACACCTAGCTTGGATCCACTGGAGCAGAGCTCAGTTTATGGATTCATATACCAGTACCTAGAACAACTTTATGTACTCTTGTTCCTTTCCACATTCTAGTTTGCTCTGTACAGTTCCTGAGAAAATAGTCTAATGTATATTTTCTTTTTTTGGGACAGGTGGTGTTTTTTAATCTACCATTGATGGCATATACATGTTGGTGTTTGTCCTTGCGTTGCCAAGGGCATTGCTTTGGCTCCCATTTGTACAATATCAAATGGTACCGGACCGTGCCTATCCACCTACTCATGGCACTCCTATTTTTCTGGCAGGTACATTCCTGCTATTTCCTGCTACAGGCATATGGAATTATTGCTTTTTTCCTCTCTCCGCTGAGAACTTGGATTGTGCTGTTAACCCTCTTTCTGAGCCACAGGACTTGGACGCTCCAGTCCTCTATATTCAGAATCTTTATTGAGGAAATGAAAAACTACAAAAGTTCTGAATAGTTCCTTTTCAAGAAATGGACGTAACTTTCACCTGGAGGTGAAGCTGTGAATTACTGGCTTACAGGACTGATGCCTATGCAGCCTGAACAATTGAATGTGAAAGTTTAGAGTTGTCCTGAAATCACTTCTGTGCTGCTGTATAATCAGACTGCTACAGCTCAATATTCTAAGCCTTAGAGTCCAAGAGGATCTACAGCACTTTTCTCAAAACCTACTTCCTTATTCACCTTTGTTAATAAAAATTTGTTTTGAATGACTGTTGCTGTTAAACAAAGCTCATAAGGAAAATATGGGAATCAATGGGAATTATTTCTCCTTCTTAGCGTTTACACAGGGTATGCTACACTTGAATAAGGATGCAGCTGCTATTTGGTCAGTAATAAGTCACAGCACTGGGCCAGAAAGACAAAAATCCTTCTTTTCCCTGGTGCTTTTCCAGCCCTCTTTAGAACAGCACACACTTTCCCTTACCCATACCCAGTTTAAAGTATGCTATATTAGAATGATGAGATCTTTAAAATATGAATGTGGATGCTGCCAATACAGAATAAAAATAACAATACAACATAAAATGATAATAACAATACTACCAGCAATAGCAAGCAGTGGTTTTAATAATTAGAATTAGCCATAGCTTCAAAGGCCATATGGTATATAAAGTAGTTAGGTGGTGCCAAAGGTTAGGTGCCTGGTGATCTTGGGAAGGATTCCTTAAATGGTATACCATGGCTAAAAAGCATCCTTTCTAGTTCCCATCCATGTCTTTTCAGATAGCAAGGGAAGCCATAACAGAGGCTTACTTTCTCACCTCCGCTAATTGACGGCTTGATTTGGAAATAGGATCAGCACCAAGACCTTGAATTGTTCTTGAAAATGTATTGGCAACCAGTTTAGCACTAGAATAATATTGCATATGATGGCATCTGTATTGTTGACTATTTTCTGGGCAGTCTTCAAGAGTGGCCCATGTATGTTATATTACTGTATATTACAGTAATCCTGGAGTTTATCAGAACATTGATAATCATGACAGTGCCATTTCTGTCCAGGAGATGCAACAACTAGCACACTAGTCACAGGTGGTGAAATGGTGCTCTGTAGTCCTTGGTCTTCCAGTGACAAATCTGGAACTAGGATCAACTCTGAACTTGACCCAGAAGGAAGACTGCACCATTTAGAATTGATTGAACACCAGTGCCAAAAGCAAATGAAATTACCTATCCAAATCATTTCTGTACTCTCAGGATTAAGTTTCAGTTGATTGGTCCTCATCTAGCTCCTCACTGATTCTGCATACCCGTTCTGCTCTTCTACTTTCTCATCAGACCCAGATGAAAACTGAACTGGGTGCCATCTGCATACCAATGACACCTTACTTCAAAACCTTTCTAGCAGCTATTTATGTTAAAAAGCCTTTGGGCTACTATTAGAAAACCAAGTCTTACTAGGTTCACAAAATTATTTATAGTTTTTTGCACTGCTGCTTTGTGTGTTGTTGTTTTTTTGGACTGCTGTTTTATGTAATCAGTAAAAGAATGCTTCACAATCCATCTTATTCAAAAATAAAAGTGAAAAATGATTTTAAGTTGCTACACTTAATTTCAAGTTATTTTAAAGCACAGTTACACGTTGTAGGAAACACAGAACTGGTAATGAAAATGGCAGCCCTGTATCAAGTTCCTCTTGAGTAGCGTGCAGTACAGCTTAACCTGTGTCCTATTTCTTCATCTCATTCAGTAGTAACTAGTGATGTGGAATAGGGAAATGTACAGTGTAGTGAAAACAGGACACAAGATGAGTTGTCTCACACATTACCTAGGACAGCTTTAACTATTACTGCAAATTTCTGCAGCTTACTGCAAATTACTGCAAAGCAGCAACCCTTGTTTCTTATATTGGAGTTCTACCTTCAGTATTTAGTAAAGATTCTTCACTGTTGTAGTAATCAGGCCTGTTGTACATGAGACATGTTCCACTTTAAACTATTTTTTAGACAAAAGCTTCATTGGCATATTTTGGGTTGTTTCTCCATGCATTACCTATGCTTCTAAATATAACACATATAGAAATATTTTGGGATATTTGCCAAGTTGAGTAAATAAATGGCAGGAACATAAAGACCAGTTCACACAGTTACCACAGTATGTTTTCTATTTTCAGTGGGCCTTAAGTGTACACAGGGAGAGATGATTATATAGCCTTTGTGTGTCCAGCTGGCCCTATAGGTATGTGTTGTACATGGTATGCTCTACCCAACCATCAGTGTTTTCTTTCAAGTGTGTAAATGTATGTGTAAGCCCTAGCATATACAGAATGGTCTACATAGCCATATATATAAGCCTAAAGTGTGCACTGACAGACTATCATGTAATAACATATACAGGTTGGGCTTGGGGAGACATTATCAGTATATGAGAGTTTGCCCAGTCTTTTGATGTCCCAATATAATTGCTACCAGCATCAAAATCTTCATGTGGTATGAATCCTTTATATTTGTGGATTTCATAACAGCAAGTCCTATTTCTTCAATGGAGGTTACTCCCACTTAGAGGTATATAGGATTGCAGCCCAAAGCAATTTGAGTAAAAGGGGAAGTTAAAACAGTAATGTTTATTCATGGCCAGGTATGTCACTTTCTTACCAATTCCTATGCAAGTTTCTTTGTGTTTCTTTGTAGGGAATCAGATACTAACAATAAATCAGCAGCTGCTTAATCATTTTTGTATTCTGTTTGTGTACACTGTTAAGCTTCTGTATACTTTCTCACCACAGGCATTGAGCTTCTTAACATGAAGCACTGATTGTGCACCTGCCTCTCCCTACTCATAGCTTTTGCAGGTTCTTTAAACAATGTTGTTTGTAAACAATATTTTCAGTGAATCTTTTTAGAGACTGTAAAATGGGGTATTATTTCTGAAAGTGAAAAAAATGCTACTTCCACTTGTGCATTTGCAATATTCTGTAATAGCACAACATTATCTAATAGTTATATAGCAGAAAAGCAGGAATGGAAATGCTACTCATATAGTTCTTGGGTCCCAATTATATGGCATAACTGAAAACAGGTACTGTGGATTAACAGCCCCATGTAGAAAAGCCCATTAATGTGTGTGTCGATTCATTAATAGAAACCCACTGAAAGAACCTTTGGTTAATTGAGTATGTCCTTAGAACCGTAAATACAGGATTGTGTTTGTAAATGGTTAAAAACTATTTTAAAAGGCTTTATTAAAAATTAACTATACTTCACAAGAGAAACATGAGAGATTCATGGGAAATTTATCATATAATGCCACCCCTTAGTAACTACATCACAACAGCTCTGCTATATCTGGTAATGCAACCAGGAGTGCATACATAGATTGCTTTAAATGTATTCTCTGGAGGAAGACTGTATTAAGACTGACATTAAGACGACTGACATTAAGAAAGCCAGGCCAAAAATTTAATAGCTGTCTCAGAAAACATTCACTTTTTCATCCCATTTCCACTAGTAACCGTGTCGCATTAAACCACTATAACACAATGCTGCTCTAGAAAGTAGCAGTGTTCAGGCACTTGTGACAGGTCAGAATATGTTGTATTCTGGCTGAAAATAAGTTTCACAAAATTATTTCCTTCCTTCAGACAAAGTGTCAGAAAGAAATACATAAAGAACTTTTAGGAAGGACCTGAAATCAAAGCTAAACTTGCTTTCTGTTAGGATCACAATGAGTAAAGAGAAGGCCTTACAAAGATTGCTTGAGAGTCAGATGTTAAAGCTTGATTCTTTCAAAATATATAAAGGGTTGAAGCCAGGATCGACCTTCCATGAAAGGAACGGCTACTGTTGTGGAAGCCAGCCCCCACCACAGCGTATCCCTTGCAGCATGGTCTCTTTGCTCGGTGTAGCATTTTCGTGGGTTGGAGGGCCTACCATGGGAAGGAGGGGGCAGGAAGGTCCATTTTCACCAGTGTGCTTGATGCAGTTTAAATTTGTACCTAAGCTAAAGAATATAGAATTGGACAATCACCAACTTCTACAAACTCTGTGTTTAAACTCAAACTGCAAAATTCTGGTTATTTTATATGGGTGCCTATATAAAGAAAACAGTCAAGCCTAATGTGTATGAACAGAAGATGTTTTTCTTCATAGCTGGCACTCAGGAAATAGTAAACGCCTTGTTTTACTGGGAAACAAGCACTATCTGTTTTCCAATGTTCCCTCCGGCCATCATAGACTGGAAAGCAGCTAAAAGGAAGAAAAAATAGAAGTAAAAGGGGCATTATGAATCATTTCTGACCCAACCTACATATACAGAAGAAATGCTTTGCTATTTTACAGACAAGTAATGATGCTTATACCGTACAAAGCTGAGTGTGGCATCTGTTCGTTGAACATGCCTTTAATATAAATTAGAGGAGCAGAGCAATTGCTGCTGTCTGTGGGTAAAATTCAGCAGTATGCACTGGTGGAACAAATTCTCCCTGTGCTTCTCTGCATGCCCCCAAAATTTGCTCCAGAGGATTGGGAGAGACCTTTCAGAAGACCATCTCATCATCCCTGAGAAAGGATGTCTAAGTCATGATGTTGCCCTAAGGAATTTGAAAACATTGTTACTTTGTTCTACAAATCAACTCGGGGAAGAGGACAGAGAAGACAGAAGCTACTGTATGGCTCATTTAGATTGACAAAGAGCTATGCAGTATTGCTTTGACAGAAAGCAGCAGTGCCTCTTAGAATAAATACACTCTGAAGGCTCAGCTCTCTGTATACTGCATTTTTCTGACACACTGCTGGATGGGTGCCTGTCGATGTATGCACATACATGCGCACGCAGACACACACACACACACACATCCTGATCTTGCACAAGCATTTAGCAATTAATGGGAGTGGCTGTGGCTGTGGCTCTATGGTAGAGCACATGCTTTGATCCCAAATGTGATTCCTGATATCTCCATACAGGGCTCTAAACTTCTCTGGAGAACCACTGCCAGTCAGTATCTACAATACTGACCTAAATGGAACAGTCTGACAGTATAAGGCAGCTTCCTGTGTTCCTGACTGAATGTCCAAATGCCTTCAAGCAGAAACAAAGATTTCACAAAGATTTGTACAAAGATGTACAAATGCTACAACGGTATGCTTGTGGTGCACGTACACACTCTTCTATGTGGCTAGAGTATCTATTTTGTAGCAAGAGGTTGGCCTCGGGCATGTCCTCAGATGTCCTTGCCTACAGTCAGAACTGCAGTGGCAATACCACCAGCTGATGCTGCCTTCTTCTCTTTTATGTATCTTTTAATACATAAATACATTTAATACATGGTGGTACAAGGACTGCATTGCTTAGTACAGTCAAATAACTTGTTGCTTTGACCTCATAATTTCTTCCATCCTTAAGCAATATAGTCCCTTTCATATGTCTACTACTTGCAATTCCCTATCTAGTCTCCATCTCAATTCTGCTTGTTTTTCTTTCTACAGCTGCATTCTCTACCACTTTCTGTTCCAGTTCTCCCAACTTTAAGACACAATTTAGTCTACACCAACTCAATTATTTTTAGAAAAAGTCATGCTAGATCAGACCCAAGGTTCATCTAGTTCAGCTGCCCACAGGATCCGTCAAGCAGGATGGTTGCAAGACCTCTGCCTGCCCGAACTCCTCAGCAACTGGTACACATAGCCAGCGAGGCTAGTGGCTACTGATAGCCTCCTCTCTCATGAATCTATCCAATCCCTTGGTAAAACCATCCAGATTGGTGGCCATCACCATTTCCCATGGCAGCAAATTCCATCCGTAGTTTTGTATTTCTCAGATCTGTAGGATCTACTAGATGTACAATTTCTAAATCGCATCCACCTACTCTGCAACAAGACTGGAAAGTACACATTTCCTCTAGTATTGCTGGTCCTACAACATTACAACTGCTGAGACATTCTTGGATAATAATCTGCAAGATTGGTTCTGTTCTTAACACTTTCAGTGTCTTACAATAATACTGTTTTAAAGTAGTTCACTCTACGGAACAATTTCAGATTTGGTAGGATTTTATAAATCAGGGACAAGTACTTTTTCCTTTTAATGTTTGTTCCTAAGTTCACCAGCATGGAAATTGACCTATTCCTCCAGGTTTGATATTGCAGATGCTAGTTAGCATCTCTCACTGGAGAAGACAATAATGCTAGGGAAAGTTGGAAGAGGAGGAGTGGGCGGAAGCCGCAGCAGCACCCTACCACCACCAAATACGTATGAGATGGCTTGACCCCATAAAGGAGGCCACAGCCTTGAATGTAAACCAGTTAAGCAGGATTGTCATGGATAGGACATTTCAGAGGGCTTTCATTCATAGGGTAACCTGTCATATATGATTTGACAGTACATAGTAAGAACAAAAAATGAGTGCATAGATGAAGCTGCTAAAAGAGTTTTGAGTTAGGTATCATCAATATACTGATGATTCCAAACTCTGTATTTCTTTATCTGTGCTGCCCTAAATTTGTATCTGGGATTTATTGGCCAGAAGATAAGGATCAACCAGTCTTCCCCATCCCATTACCCTCAAGATGTTTTAAATGGGCTCATAAGAGTTGAGATCCAAAACAGAACAAGAAAAGCTAGGTTAAATAAACTGCTACAATGTAAGTAGATAACTCAAATTCTCTTGGGGTTGTTAATACCTACCTGGAAACAAGTTGAGAGTCTAAATCCTAAACAGAGCCTTCTGCTCAAACTCAGTTCTTTTTAATTTAATTGCCAACAGGATCAAATCCTCTGAATTGCTACATTTTGTCTGTTGTGTCTTTCAATTAGCTGTACATTTGACAAGTGTATTGCATTTACATTAGTGCTCTTGAGCAGCTAATATATTAAATACAATACAGTAAACCCCAATTCCCACTGTTTCAGTTGCCATGGTTTCACTTAAGCATGGTTCAAAAGCCAAGACCTGACATGGCAGAGTGCAGGCCACTCCAGGGGCGCATGTGCTGCATCCCATCACAAGCCTTGTGTATGGCTACACGGCCGGCCTCAAATCTAGCACCCTCCACGCCCTTGCTAGGAAGAGGAGGAGCATGCACTTTGCAGGGCTGGCCATGGCACTGGCTGGGAAGGAAAGCATTCCCAATGCACCTGTCTGTTCCCTCTTGCCCACCCCACCATGCCCAATCACAGCAAAGTAGGCTGCAAAACTCCAATAGTGTTACTGCTATCCGTGGTTTCAGGCACCTGCTGGGGTGCTTGGAACCTAACCTCCATAGATATGGGGATTCTACTGCATATATTATTCACAGCATTATATATAATATAAATATGGCATATTTATATCATATAATTATTTATATAATTACCATATATTAAATATATGTCTTACAGGAGGGGACACGCTGGACATATAAATAATACACAACCCAATCTAACCACTTTGCTATTAAAATCCTGCCTACCAACTATCTCAAATCCCTTTTTTACCATCTTGCATACTGACAGAAAATTGTTATAGATTTCATCATTTCATAGACTGAACTTTATGATAGCAGGGCACACCACCAGTCAAAAAATGACTAAAAACTAAAAATCCTTTGTATTATCTTGCAAAAGGTTGATCAAATTTGGTAGAAGGCAGGCATATCAGTCTACAAAAAGGTCAAGACAGAACAGATGGATTATAGCAGCAGTTGATGATGCACCTTTTGTTCAGTTAGGGGCTCACTTATACAGATGCACATTCATCCAGAACAAAGAACTGCAAACAAAACAAAACTCTAAACAAACAAACTCTGCCAGACTATTATTTCTTTTTGGGCTTCTGAAAACTAAAGATAATTTGCATTGCTTGTTGAAATTATTATAATAGCTGCTTTGAGTTTTCTAATGGGTTTCTAATTGGATTTTTAAAAGTTCCCACAGATATATATTCTGTGGAAGCAAACTCAGTTTAAATTGATAGTCCTACTTGATTAAGAAATAGGTATCATTCCATAGCTTTGCTGTACATAGGTAACCCATTTACACCAGTTCCAATTCTTGTTCATCCAATCCTGTATTGCCACTTATGAATGACAATGGCTCTGCATCATCACGTGGTACCCAGTCTTTCCAATGAAAGATTGAACTTTGGACTTCTACATGCAAACAAGCTATTATGAGCAATGTTACTTCCATTTGCACAATGGGAAATTGTATGCATGTCCCCAGCCCCAAAATGCTGCAGTCTCTTCTGGAGAATGCTCAACCTTCTGGAGCAGATTTGGAGGGAGTGCTGCTGGGAGCTGAAAGGGGAAGGGATAAACCAGTCTGCTAACAGTATTCTGCCACTGAGGTATAGTCTCTTTTTGCCCTGTGAAGAAGGGACAATAACTTACCTCCAATGTTTTCCAAGCCTTCCATCACAGTCTCTTTAGCCTGTTAAAAAAATATGTATGTAAGATGTTTGTTCTATTTTATTTCCCATCCATTCTTAAAACACTGAGGAATGAAATATTGAAGGATGTTATCCTGACATCAGTCATTCTCTGGGTCAGATTATTATATTGTCTAAAGAGGGTTCTGTGCTCTTTGCTGACATGATAAAGTTAGCTGTTCACAGTGGTAACCAACCAGAATAAATGTAAAAAGAGAATTTTCATGAAATGAATTATTGCTACATTCCATGAGCATTTCCCAGATTTTTGTCATACCTTCAGTTTTCCCTCTTTGATCCACTGACAGAGCAGCATAGTACTAGTTGCCCATTTGTCCATGTAGTTCATTACTAAAAACCTTTCCCTGTGAAAGAGTGAACATTGCTTTCATTATTAATAATATTTTATATTGCCTTTCTACAAAAATTGCCAAGGCAGTATACCACAAGTCCAAATGAAACAGTAATACTGTAAATAAAAAACAATAAAAGCATTTATAACATTAAAGACAACATGAAAGACAGTAAAAACAATTCAAAAAGCCAGAATGAAAAGAGGCATCAACCACTTCTCCAACAACTGAGAAAGTGGGAGCCAAACAGAATTGTGATGGAACACATGTCAAAATTTGGAAATGACACAAGAGTCCAAAACAGGCTTCTCCTGTGGATCTTAATCCCCGGATTGGTTACAGGTAATCTATAACATAGCTAGGCCCAAGGCCCTTTAGGGCTTTGAAGGTTAAACCCAACACCTTGAATTGAACTTGGAAAACAATTAGTAACCAGTGCAGATCTATGAATATTGACTGACTGATTAGCAGCCTGGGTATCCCGTTTTGCTTCAAGGACAGTCCCATGAACCAGAATAGTGATGCTGCTGAAACGTTAGTGTAGTGAGTGGAGCCAATCACCCCCCTCAGCAGGTATCCCAGGCTCAGCAGGACTGGGATTCTGGAGGGGAATGGGCCCTTGAGGCTGAGGTGGGAGTTTTGGAAAACGAGGCAAATGCTCAGGCTTTTGAAGCACCCTCAAGGTCACTGCCCACAGATTCCTGGGCCAACCAGGAGAGTGGGAATGTTTTGGAAGGGGCAGGAGAGGAGAAGGACAAGCCTTTGCCTTGCTCAGTCCGTAAGTCCATGACAAGGTGTCAGGAGAAGCGAGCTGCCCAGTAAGAGGGCTTGTGCTGCTCTCACAGGCTGGCTTTTCAACACTGGGAGGCACTCTTTGGGTGGAGCCCCACAGTCACTCAATGGAAAGGGTTCTAGGGAGAAGCCCCAGGTTGGGTTCAACTATCATTCCTGACATGTACAGAGGCATACCTGCCAGCTTACTTTTAGAGTTACTTGGTCTAGTAGCTACAAAGTGCCAATAAAGAACTGCTTGCAAAGAGACTGTTTTGGACCCTTTGGGCAATAAGGGGAAAGCCAGACTTAAGACACTTAGGCAGTGATTCCAGAAGGGCACTTTCAGATTCAATTTAGCACGCAAGCGGGAGCATTGCTATAATTACCAATTTAGGACAGTAATTAGATTTTCTAGCTCAATATATGCATCCTTTAGAGAATATTAGGCATACCTAACTCAAACATAAGTGCCAATGAGTTCAGTGGGGGCTTACTCCCAAGTAGGAGCACTTAGGACTGCAATCTTAGGGTACCAAGCAAATACAGACATTAAACAATCATGTCAGGAGACAAAAATAGAAGGCCAGCATCTTTGAAGTGCACTGAAATAAGAGCACAGTATGCTAACCACTTCCAGGCAGAAGTAACTATACAACATGCACAAACTTTACTTTAAAGGATAAAGGAATGCAGATACTATTGATAAAAAATATTTAAGAATTACATTGTTGATTTAAAGTTCTACAGTGGCATATACAGTGGTATTTTAATAGAATGTGGCATGGCTTTTTTGAAACAATTAGTTCTGTTAAGATGAGGTGCGCTTTTATTGTCTTACTGTTTTATTGTTATTTGATTTTTGTGTTTATATATTGTTTTTACATGGTTTGACTATTGTAACCTACCCAGGGAGCCATGTGGCTAATGGGGTGAGCTAGAAATCAAATTATGAAAATAATTTTAAAATAAAATATATTCTGACAGGGACTTTACAAGGATAAATCTGTGACTGTGGGGTAGCTAAGCAACACTTGAAACCATGTCTACATCTGTGCCAATCAGGAAAGAATTTACATTCATTTAAATTTTACTGTGACTTGTGATTCCCATTCTTTGCTTCTCTAGCAATGCAAAAGTAGAGGGCTCTGAGCAGGAAAGACTTGTTTTACTGTTGCAGTGGAATGGACAGCATTCCTGCTCTATGCCTCGCTTTGGGTCTTATCATACTGCTTTCTACATTCCTGCTCAGTTGCTAGTAAGACGCACTTAAGGCCTCAGAACCTTCTCTAGACAACAGCTCAGTCTTCTACACAGTTGTCAATGAAAAAGAGATTGTCTACCTAATTAGTTTTTTTTCTGTACGTCATATATTTGAAATTCATACTTGGCATGCAAGTGCTAGAAGCACTTTCCATGCATGTATCCACTACCCAAAGCTGCATATTAGCTGCTGCGTATTTGTCCCACACACATTTCCTGCAGAGAGCATGCAAATTATTCTCCCCAGTCTGATCACTATGGGAAACAATATTTCAAGTAAATATTTAGGCAACATTTTGCAAACGATGCATTAGCTACACATCCCTCCCAATGTGTTATCTGTATCCAGGTGCAGGCTAAAATGATTTAGTAGAAATACCTGGTGATATTCCGGGATTTCCTTATTTCTTCTATTGCAGGAGGCAAAGGTGGAGGATAGGGCACATCCTTATTGTACTGGGAGATCTGGCCACATAGAATGATATGGCTATTTGGATTCATCTGTTGGAGACAAAATAGAAAGATTCTATGGTCCTGGCATGAATGTGGAAATGTACATAAGGATAATGTATATTTCATCCCTAAGAATGGGATACTATTTTGCAGAGAATTTGATGGACAGAAAACAGACCTAGTTATTCAACATGCAACTAGTTGGAGAGATGGAATGTTTCAAACAAACAAACTTCAGGCATATAGTTTAAGGGAGTCATAATATTTCAGATCTTATCCCTGAGAACTGCTTTCGGCTGTTTTCTGTCAAGTAACTTTAGTGATCTTACACAACACCTTCAGGTCACACAGTGTAAGACTATAAACCTTAGACCAGCAGTACACAAGGAGTGGAAATGCATTGCCACAGCACACCTCACCCTCTTTCCCCCACTGTGTGCCCTCCTTCCCCTAACATTTGCTGCAAGAACCCACAAGCACCACTCCAGCTGACAACGAACGGATGCAGCGTCAGCAAACATAAGGAGAAGGGGAGGCTCCACAAGAGGAACAGAGGGTGGGCAGCTGCTCTAGAGAACCCGACCAGATGCCTTCTCAGTGGGACAGGGGTGAGGAGAGCAACACAGTTCACAGCTCCTTCTGCTTTGCTGTCTGATGCAGCTGCCTTACCCTGCTTCAAGGAAGGGCCAGCCCTTTGCCTTTGATGTGGGGCAGTCACTGCAGGAACGGAAAGAGAGATGCAGAACTGTGCATTAAGCACTGCATGGAGCCTAGGTTACAGTGCTGGTTGTGGGTGTTCATGTAAGAGCAATGCCTGAAGGATGCTGGCAGTGAAGCAATTTGTCTTGCAGAGAAATGTGTCTGCCACTACTAATCTTCTCAATGAGGAATCCCGATGGGCTTTCAAGGAACCCCAGAACACAGTTTGAAACCTCTTGTAATAGAACATTAAATGGCAAGTGGTTAATTGTGTCAATTAAGAGAACAGTCTAAAGGAACAGTGTGTGTTTATTATGTGTTTTGAAACCAAGCTGAAGAACATTCAGTTCATCTGGCATACATTCTGTTACAAAAACCAGAAAAATGTTCTTTTCTAAATGAAAAATAAATGTGCTCTCTCTCTCTCTCGTTCACTCTCTCATTCTGAGTGTGTGTGTGTGCATGCACACGTATATGCATGCATGCATGTGTGCATGTACATCTATAAAAACATCCTCTACCCAGAACTCTGATTAAGTACATTGAAATTAATAGTCATCACCAGGCCAAGTGACAACCCAGAATGGAGGAAAGCTTCCCTCCAGTTAGGGAAAACAAGCCACAAGAACACTGTGAACTATTACCTGGTGTGTTTTCTATAATTTAATTATAGAAAAATAATAAAATAATGCTGGAGATGAGGATATAATTAATAATATGATTAATGAATTGCACAAGGTCCGGTGAGTGCCCCATGTCACCTGAATGTGCTCTGCAAGATACAAAAGTTACTATATGGAAAGGCATTCTTGAAGATAAGGTTTGAAGGATTATAACTCTCAAATTATATACATAAATGTATATATGAAACAATGCACAATGAGTCTGTCTCCTTAATCCTGTGAAATGGACAGACTGCCACTTGCTGGGTGCAAGGAAAAGAAAAAAGGAAAAGCATCTTGCATGTACTCAGAGGCATTTTACTATATTCTTGCTGGCTATTAAATAACATTTTTGGCTACTAAGTCGAGATTCATCATATCCTTTCATCAGCAAGATAGACTGTGAGTAAAATCCCACTGGCTTGTGCAGTATCTGGAGTAATGAATGGTACATACAGGAAGGATAATATGTACTTACTTGACTTATCACTGCATCACTGGTATCTCCACCAACATTGTCAAAGTACACATCCACTCCAGCTGGACACAGTTCCTGTAGTCGTTGTGCTACATTCTCTTTCTTATAGTTGATAGCAGCATCAAAACCCATTTCCGAGACCAAAATGGTGCATTTTTCGTCTGTGCCACAAATACCAACCACTTTGGAACAGCCTTCCAGGAAACCTATCTTTAGAATCATACAACCATCACAATTGGTCAACTTTTAGCACTATGCAAGAACTTGTCTTGTAGGTTAAAGGCAAATCTTATTTGCCTTCCTTGTTCTGTCAGTTGCAAAATAAACATGGTTTGTAACTCCTTCATGCTCCCTGTGGATCAAGTGAAACATGCAGTACAGTTTGCCTTGACATTATTTTTTCTTCCGTAACTAGTCAGTATAGTGTAGGGTGATCAGAAAGAATTTTGTAAACCTTGGCACTGGAGAAAGAGTTTTCTAAACCTTTTGTCCCAATCACAGCCCTAGCTGGGACACAGGTGTGTCTATCTGCAGTGAGAGGAAAATGCCAATTGGAGCTTTACAAACAGCAGCTGCAGCAGGGGCTGATTCTAATCAGGACAACCATAGGACAAAACCTAATGTCCCTCAATCCCTCTGCAGCTCACCCACTCCCAAGAAAGAAATAGGGCAGAAAGATAGCTCACTTACAAAGGACAGTCCTCTGTTTTGGAGGGCTGTTGGAGAACAATCATAGAAACACGGAAACAGAGCAAGTCAGAAGGGGCCTTCCAGGCCATCTAGTCTGATCCCTGGCTCCAGCTACCTCCACTCATTGCATGCCCACCATATGCATGACCAGCCTATCCTTGAACACCCTCACCGACAGGGCCTCAAACACCTCCCATGGAAGCCCAAATACTTTATTTTAAGGTATAGTTATTAGATTTTTATCCGGCTCCATTAGATAAACACTCACTACTACAGAAGTGAATAGAAGGTAATTTACTAGATGTTTTGAACTTCAACTGCCAGAATTCATGATACAGGCTTCTGGGAGCTGAAGTACAAAACATCTGGAGATCTACATTCTGTTCACCCCTGAACTGGAAGACATATTCAAATAGAAGACTGTCCTCCAACGACTCTCCAAAATAAAGGACTAGCATCTGTAAAGTAAGATACTTAGCTACCCTCTTTCTTTGGTGAGATGTATTGCATTTCAAATTAAATCATACAAAATATTTCTACATTTCTATCTATAGACAAAAATTAGCATATGCAAATGTCATGCATGTGTGTGGGAATAGTCGCCCCAGAAAGAAAACCAAGGGCAAACTGTGTAATGAATGCCATGCCTGGTTTTACCCATCATTCCACACTTATGCTTATATCCATCCTCATATAGACTTTACAGGATGTTGACAGTCAAGTTAACAGATGAAGCAGATACATGATTATAACAAACAGGAATCTGTACCTCCACTCGTATGAGATGGGGAAGTCTGTTAGACAGCCAGTTGGAGCAGGGGGTCAGACTAGATGGCCCGGGAGACCCCTTCTGATTTACTGTTTCTATGTTTCTCTTTTGTCCCCTCCAGGGCAGTGCTACTATCATCCATATCAATAACCCTTGGCTTGAATAAAAGAACACTTCAGACTTATGATCTGTACATGTGGAGAAGGACAGGCCTCTTTTATTTTTTTCTGCTTCTTAGATTTATATCCCACCTTTTTCTTTTTAAAGAACTCAGAGTGGTTTACATCACTCTCCCACTCCTGCAACTTCCTTTGGTCTCTGTGAATACCAGCTTAGTCTGTACGCCAGACAGACCAGTATGTAAGACCAACCTCTGGTTAGGCAAAATAACTTAACCTCTCCATTTTCCTATTGAGTATATTGATTTAATTATCAGGAGGTGGAAAGTATAGAAATAGACAGTTGCTTGTAAGAATAAAAAGAAACACAGAATTAGATAATTTGAACAGGCTTAGGGAACCTGTGTCCCTCCACATGTTGAACTACAACTCCCATCAACTCTGACCACCCCCCATATTGTTTCCAAAAACATCTGGGGAGCCACAGGTTCTCCAGGCTTGAACTAAAACTTATTTATCAGGATCCTAAGCCCTTTACAGCAACTCATATTTTCAAAGTAACTTGTGCTTTAGGGAGAAAAGATGCCTACCTGGGGTTCCTTAGCTGCAGGGAGCACAAAAGCCAGCAGCACAAAAGACAAAGCAAGATTTCACAATCAAAGTTGTTCTGTGGGCAGCGGGAACCCCCGCACAAAGGTTACAAATTCAGATTGGCCAGTCAAGTCAAACATAAGCCTGAAGGAAGTAGTCTGGATCAGGGAGCTGTATGAGGGCACGTAACCTTGGCCCTTCCACAGATCAGCTCCAGGAATGCTGGTATCACACGGAGATACTGATTTAACATGGTGGCACCTCAAGATGCTAATTGCTTAAACCACTAATTCCACCCTGCCTCATGGGAACAGACCCACAGTGGCTGTGACGTGTTTCAGAAAGAACTGCTGTGACCCACATAAACCAGCACTTCCATGCAGTATCAACCAGGTTACAAGCCTGCAGCCCCATATGCTCCCCTAAGTATCTCACCAGCCACACTTGGCCTTTATTTCTCACATTCGCTCCCTGTCTGCAAGATGGATTTAAAGCAGAGGCAGACCTCAACGGGATGCTTAATGCCTCCACTGATTCTTTTGCGCCCTGCCACTTCTGTTGTGCCAGTGGTGCTCCTGCCAATTTCACTGCACAAGTAGGAGCTAAGGCTTGCACAGCAGATTAGTGCTTCCCAGGGGAAGCCCTGAAATGAGAGGAAATGCTAGTTTTTCAATAGGGACAGACTGGTAGAGCTGCTTTATATGACTTGCCCAGCTCCAGAGAGTAACATCTTAAGACTGTTTTTAGTTGCCCCAGAAATGCTGTATCTTACTTCTGCAAGCTATTGGTCCCACTTGTCGACAGGAATTGGTATTAGGGGATCAGTGCAGGCATGTGCTCCATTCTTTTCTGCCTCAGAATCCTCAGCTTCACTCACCAAGCTCACCTCAGCAAGTGTTCCATGAGCATCTGGCAGGTGTGGCATGTCACAGGTTTCCTCCAACCCTGAACAGGGGTGGGACCTTCCCAGCATGCAGGTGAGAGAAAGCCCTGGATCTGTTTTGGTCCCGCCTCTCCTCTCTGGTTCTGAGCTCAAGAAGGAGTGGCAGTGTCTGGCTTAGCTTTGCACTGCACGAAGGGCAAAAGGCACTGAGCCCACTTGCATCGTGTTAGGAACACAAACTCACCACTCGGTGGAGATTCCTGGACCTGATTATTTACAGGTTTTCTGTTATTAAGATTTGGGTATGGCTAGTAAGTTGGTAGTAAGTTGCAAAAATGCAGGCAATAAAGATATTTTTAATGAACCCTAAAGATTTGGCTGGGGTTTTTTATGTGACAGCTACTACAGCAGTTCTCCACCTAGCACCACTGCGGTAATATGAGAAGCCTGGGGCCCCCTGGAATGAGGCCATGCCACAGGCCTTCTCAGCCTCATTCCCCACGGGTTGGCACCGGCAATGGAAAAGGCCTCAGTGTGGGGTCCGTCTGCGTAGTGCAGAGCTTCCTGCCTTACTCAGTGACGCAGGAAGGAGCGGCACTGTGGGGCTCCCACATCAGAGAATCTTGGGCTGCAGAGATCAAAGTAATCAAACCACTGTGCCAGCAGCTAAAATGACTCATCTCAAAAGGCACAATTTAAGATGCCTTTGTTCACTCCTCTTCCAGCTCCTTACCTGACCAGCCAGAGAGCCGCAGGCTCCAGCAGCCCCACTGACCACCATGGTTTGACTAGCGCCTGGAGACACATGTCCTTTCTCTCTTATTCCTAGCAAAGCTGTTAGCCCAGTCAAGCCAGCTGCACCCAGAAAATGGGAAAGGTGTCCATCCACAAGCTGTGGGTCAATCTGAACAGAGACACATGGTTTTAGAAGATAGAAATATACCTTGCAGTAAGCATTATCAACCCATCAGAATCCACTCAGATCATTTGCCTCATCTATGTCATTTCAGGCAGATTTATAGCACTGCAGAACATCAAGCAATTGCCTCCAGATTGCCTCCACAATAGCCCTCCGCCTGCTACAACCTCATCCCCAATTTCTCACTTTTGGAAATCCTGCATTATCCGGAACATTTCAATTTTTATTATTAATAATATTATTATTATACCACCCAGTATCTGAAGCTCTCTGGGTGGTTTCCAACAGTTCTTAGCAGTTTTAAAATCAAGAAGCAACTTGTATGCTCTTAGGGTACATTGCTTCAGGGCTTGCCACATGCAAAGTTGCCTCATAGAATACGGGAAGCCATATCATGCTTCCCCTACAAACAAGCCAGAGGTTTGCTCTCCCCCAGATCCTGGCATAATGGAAAAGCAATTATGCCGTGGGAACCCAAGCACAGCAGAGCAAGCTTATACAGGAAGTTTCCCTTATATGGGAAATATGGAAGACCCTGCCAAGGAGTGAATGGCCTTTCTATGATGCTGTGCACCCAGCAGCAGGCCTACAAGAGGACAGGTCCACACACTGCTCTGAGCACATGGACCCCCTGCAAGATGATACTCTCATATATCAATTATTTGTTTTATTTAGCATTTATTCTAGGACACCTTTAAAGGTGCAACCCAAGGTAGTGTACAATAAGTTGCACTCAGAGGGACAAGAATTTTCAAGGAGGGAACAAGTTGCTTTAAATGTCTCATAAGAACATCTGTAGCTCAGCAGTGGAGCTCATGTTTTGCATGCAAAGGGCCCCAGATTCAGCCCTTGGCATCTATATGTACAACTAAGCAAAACTCTGCCTAAAACCCTGAAGAGCCATTGCCAGTGTAGATACCAAGCTAGAAGGACCAACAGTCTGGCTTGGAAAAGCCATTTCCAAAGCTCCAGAGAAGGGAAGGGCAACTTGTGGCTGCCCAGATGGTTTGTCTGACAACTCCGATCAGCTCAAGCCAGTATAGCCAATATTTTTAAGTCACGGGAGCTGTAAGTCGAAATATCTGGAGAGCCACAAGATGCCTACCCCAGCTATAAACCATCCATATTATCTATTTCATCCAGGATGAAAAGGAACAGTTATCAAGATATTTCTATTAACATGCATAGCGATACCTTCTCAAGTTGCTTTCCATCTAGAATGGCCTTTGTCTGCCAGGGCCAGGTGAAGGAAGTTACAAAGTCTCCTGCAGCAAAATGTACATCTTTACTTTCCTCCACAGAACCAATTCCTCCACCAGTGATGACTTCAGACAATTTCCAGGGCTCGAGGTACTCAGAACCAGTGTCTTCATTCATACGACACCTCTGAAAATGAAAATTTCTAGTGAAACAATCCTTTAAAACATTATAATATATACAGTATACTCCCGTGAAGTTGCAGTTCAGCGTTTGCGGCCAGTGCCTTGCCGTGCGGCAGCTTACTCGCAAGGCGATCATTTCCTCCAAGTTTGGATTCGCTTGGAGAAAACAATCTCTGTGTGGGCTCATCCCTGCCCGGCCCACGTCTCCCACCCGCACTGCCTTGGCGGCCGGCACCCATCATCGGCACCAAATCCGTGGTTTTTCACAATTCGCGGGTGCTTTAGGAACATAACCCCCACAAATTTCGGAAGACTACTGTACTTACTTTGAACATCTGTCAAAAACAACATTGTGTCATTTGTAGAAATGTTTGTTTCCTCCCTCCTCTCCACAACAGAATATTTTAATTTTTCCAGAGTAACAATATAATATACATTTTTTAATAATATATAAGATACTCGTATAATAATATATACATTCTGGAATCAGTTTTATAGCACTGAAGAAAATTCTATACTGTTCCTGGTTACGAAATAGTGAAATAATTTGGACTTCTCTACTCTGATGAATTATCTATAAAGAACTATATTCAGCAATCCTGTCCTGAGACACTCTTCTATAGCCAAGCACAATGTCAGAACTCCGTACTTATTAAGGTATTATATGTATATCCCACCTTTCCCCCATTGTGGAACTCAAGGTGGATACATGTGGTTCCCAGGTGGTCTCTCTTCCAAGCTCAAGCCAGTCCCAGACCTGCTAAGCTACCACATGGTGGAAGCCTTATGTGCCTTCAGACCACATTTCAATATTTATCAGTGCACGTCCTTTACACATCAGCCCATGCAAGCATAAGCTTTAATTTATAGGACAGCGAGAAAGTGGGCGACTCTAAAATATTCCCTGTAACTTTCTTACATGAAGTATATTGGAGAAACCACATTTCATGTAATTCTGTACCTATATTTGAGCTCCATGTAGAAACATCACACTGTATTCCTTGCATTTTATGTGTGACCCCAATGTTTTATTGTTTTTATAATTATTAAACTATATTTTAATTTTAAGAACTTAGAAGCAATTTACAACAATTGATTAAAACAGGATTAAGCCAAATATATATTAATATCAACAATTACAATACTGGTTAAAGAAAAGGGTTTTGGTCTGGCACTGAGAAGAATAAAGCGTCAGTGCCAGATGAGCCAATCTGGGGAACATATTCCACAAACAAGTTGCCACCACTGAGAAGATCCTTCTCCTTGTAACAGCCCTCCTCACTTCCTTCTAGGAGGCTCTCAAAGAAAGACCTGTGTAGAAGACCTTAAGGACTTGACAGGCATATATGAGAGGAGGAGTTCCTTTGGATAACCAGGCCCTAAGCTGCTTAGGGCTTTGTATGTCATTGTCAGCACCTTGACAATAAACCCAGACTTCAATTGGTACCCAATGTAGATGGCACAGGACCGGCATTATATGATCATGTCTGCCAGTCAATAGCCTGGCTGCTCTATTTTGTACCAACTGAAGCATGAACCAATTACATATGATAGTACTGATTTGAGCCCTCGTATGTCTACTTCAGAAACGGATGCTGTGGTTACCAAACTGGTTTTTTATGCTCAAGTTTGTGAACACAATTGAGCCACATTTAAGAAATTAAAGAGAAAACTTGGATGTTTATGCACAGGTTTATTGTACATACAGGCTCCAGATCTCAGATGATGACCAGCAACATCTGTGCAGGACAAAGTATCCTCAAATATAAGCAGGACAGAAGCCCTAAGCCAATATTGAACTGGGTTACTTATTAATTTCACATTAGAAGGTATGGCTAGCCAACTGCTCTTTACCAACTTTTCAGGTATTACTGCAAACACATATCCACTTACCATATAGGGGTCCACAGACAGATAAAGTGTATGAACTTTGACTTGACCCTCAGCTATTTTATCTGGTAGGGTAGCCTCCTCCACACGGAAGTTTTCCACAACAGGAACTCCATTGACACCTACAATTAGTCAGATTATGAGTTTAAACTGAAGTGGTTTCTCTCTCAATCTGGGAGTGCAATAGCTAAATCAGAGATTTTGATTTGCCACATCTGAACTCAGACAGCTCACAGACCAATGACCAAACTCCTGCAAAAGTGTCAAATGTCTTCCTTCAGCATCTCCTTTCTGCAAGATCTAGATCTTGATGCCTACCTGATCCAATTCCTCCCTACCTCCTTCTGTTGCATCTCTAGGACCTTCCATCCAACCAGTGTGTTTCTTCATTTTACCACATCCTGCCTGCCCTGTTGCTCACTCCAACCACGAACTGCATTTTTCGTCATCCTATAGGAATAGCTCAGGCCCTTGGTCCCAGGATAGATTATCTCCCATCTTCTTGCCCTGAAACTAGATTATGAGCCTAGATAAATTCTTCAGTCCAGGGGGTCCATTCTTCAGTTTTACTGCTAAACCATTATGTTTAGTCATTGCTACAAATCAAAATGCATATACAAGTGACACCACTCACAACAGCCATTTATTCTTTCAGCCACTTCTTTTTAATGCTTCCCAGATGATACTATTCTTAGAAAAGAGACTACTTGTGTAGGAACAGAACTGGATAAACAGCAAAAAATAATTCTCACCAACACATCTGGTGTAAGAAGACTGCCTGCTGTGTATGTTTTACGGAAGATTTGCAGAAAAGGTATTACCACAAGCTTTTAATATTATCATCAAAGATTATTGCATAAATCTGGCTCCTTCCTGCATTTTCCATATTATACAAACATAACACACACCCCAAAGTCATCATTGCTCACTGACAAGTAGAAACATACCAGGGCGTGAATTCAACACCACTCTTTGTATATTCATTAGCCCTTGAGCTGAAATCCTGCACAAGTGGAAATCAGTTTCCCTGTAAAATAGAAAGTGTTCAACATGGACAAGTTTAGGTAAAAGTTAGGTGAAATGCACCAAATCAAAAGGAGGAGGGATGAAAATTAAGCACCTATCAGTGTTGGATGCTCCCTCTGCACATCGTTGGCACATGAAAATACAGAAAACTCAGCTTTTGGAGTTTTGGCTAAGAACATTCATTAGGGCATGGTATTTTCTCTCAGTCTCTAATACTTGCAGGTATGTTGATGGGTCATAGCTTGGCAGGGACAGAAATGAAGAACAGATTGGAAAAAGCACACAAAGTGGGGAAAACATATGTCCTAAAATCAGGTGTGAGAGGCATTTGGGGGCAGGAGGGGCAACAACAGTCATGTGTCATCCCCCCCCGCCACCCTTGTTCAAAATGATACTGCAACATGTTGCCTAGCAACCGAAGCCTCATGTGTGATCCATTCAGCTGCTGACTGGTACTAGTAAGCATTTTCCCCTGTCCACCCTACCTAGCTTTCTTGTGTATACAAGGTACACAAGCACAGAATAACATTTCCTTGAAATTATTATCATCACTCTGCATTTATATTCCACCTGAAAACAAGAACTCTGAGAGCAAGGTTAGACTAAGAGACAGTGACAGGCCCAAAGTCACCCAGTGGAATTAATGGCCGAATGTGGGATTCCAACCTTTTTATTTGCCCATCAATTTAATACCTACATTAATAATATTAACAAATCAATTATATTTTATACAGTTGCATTTCTTTCTCTTTCTTCCTTTATTTTTGAATTGTTATTGTTGGTTGTAAAATTGCTTTTATTGGATGTTTTAACTGAGTTTTATATTACTGATAGATTTTTTGTAAGCTGTCCTGAGGCTTGGGCAAAGAATGGGTTAGAAATATCTTAAATAAATAAACAAACAAACAAACAAACTCAGATCTCCTTCCCATACAGCACCATTAACTAGTATATCACACTGGCATAGGGTAATGGTTTTCAACCAACCGTTTGTGGGCTGGTGCAGGTCTGTGGGTTATTTCCTGCTGTTAGGGGGTGGGAGGAGCATCCTGCTTGCTGTGAACTGGTGCAGGGGCTAGCTGTGCTCCACCACCTCTTCCTCGGTTGGCATCGTATTTGTGGGAGATACACCAGTGCTTCCAGGGGGGCCAGGAACGGAAGACACAGCTTGATGGGAGCTGCCTCAGAGCCATGCTGCACCAATTTCAATATTTTGCTTTTTTGATGGCATTTGTTGCTCAGTTTCTAGATGTTTTGGAGAATTTTCATTTTTCTGGTATTGTTTGGAAACTAATACACAGAATTATGTACGGAGCTATTATATGTATTGGAGCTCAAAGGATTGTGTCCTAACCAGACCTAGCCACATGTAAATTCCATTAAAATGACTGGCTTTCCCAATGTTAATAAGAGAGACCACTGCTTCTACAAATACCTGCAAATGGGAAAAACTTCTGTCAGTTACCATTACTTTGTGGATTTCAGATACTATACCATTAGCAGCCCAATCCATCCTTGCTGTACTGTGCTGGAGATTCAAGTAGAATGGAAATCTCCTGGATCAATTTATCTGGTTGGGTTGTTATAACCATGTTCCAAGGTAAAACACCATCTCCTCAGACTTCACATGGCATTCTGGCTATCACATGTGTGTTTATTGTAAATCTGATACTTTGAGAACACATCACTGTAAGTGAAATCTTCAGTTTAAAAAAGATAAATTGAATATATCCATTGGTGGCACAGGATCTTTGCAATCCCACCAACTAGTTTTAAGGAGGAGCAAAAGTGACAGGAAAGCAAACTCTGGTCCATTAGCAATACTAAGTGTCATGTAGCATTTAGAGACACAACCTTTTGAAAGCATTATGTTGCTATGTAAAGACCAGGCACTCACCTTTGGATTATGCAAGTTCTATTTCTGCTGATATATGATACTAAAATGGGAACTGCATATATGCTACCCATTACATGGAAATACATGCCATTTTTAATAACAGTTTTCACAGGTTCTGTGAAATATAACACATTCAAATATGCAGAGCTTATCATATTATTTTAATTGATCAGTTAATTAAAGCAGGCCTCCTGAATCTGGAGTTTTGAAAGCTTCCAAGGTTTTTATGCAACCTTAACAGCTGCTTACAGATGACACTTTTATCTCTCTGCTTAATTCACAAAAATTTAGAAGGTCCAGATATGAATACCTTGTATTCATGACCCTCCTGATCTGTTTCTCTTAATCTAGAATCAAAAAATACTATTTTAATTTATTTTTAAAAATCAACATCAGAAGCACTCCTTGGAAAGAATGCCAGTTGATGATTTCAAGGCATGCTCTTTTGCCGATGCATAGCAAAGTAACTTCGTTGTCCCTACCACAAAATAGAGTACTGTGTATCATTTCAGAGAACAAGCAGGACACCATATCAACAAAAACAGCTAAGGAATCATGTTTGCAGTTAATTGTAATTAATATTTAATTAGTTATGAAAAGCTGCAACTTGGAGCCCTTTTCCCTTGGAGCAGCCCTTTCCCTTTTTCAGATAACAGAATTGAAAAGTAGCATTTTTGGAGACATGGGTCTCCAGTGGTAGAAGAGAGTGGGAAGGAACCAAGAATACGAAATAATCTCAGGTAAACCAAATGGAATGTCTGCAAGAAACTTTCCATCCAGAGTCAAGGGGACTGGAACAAGTTTGATTTTGAGGTCCCTGCCACAGCCCCCGAAAAGGACTTGTGTTGAGAATTCCAGTGAGCAATGAAACAAAGCAGTGTCCAACTGTATACACTGCTCTTGCTTTGTGGTTGCAAACTACAACCGCCACAGGGTGTCCGTTCCACATTCATTGCTGAGCTTAGAGTTCCAATATAATATTAGGAAAGACCTTCTTAAAACATACGATTTGCTTTTCCAATCCTAATAGTAGAATTACACTGTACTACAGAATTTGTCTGTGTACAACAGTTCCTTATACCACCTTGCCCAGATTTTTGCTTTTCAGATAGTCTTGGACATTGTTAATCAACTCCCAGCATTCCTGACCTTTGATCATACTAGCTAGAGCTAACGGGTGCCGAAGTCCAAACCCTCTGGAGGTCTCCAGCAGGAGAAAAGCTGCCTAAGATTTACACAGTCTGCACCAACGAATTCTTCCATCTAGGTTTTCATTTCATGTCCTGTCCTCCTTTAATATCTGCGCCACAGGAAATTAGCGGCTGAACATTTTCTCAACGAGAACATACAACGAGAACCCGCGACTATATGGGGGTGAAGGGAAGCTAAAGCACGCCTGAGCTAAAAGTTTTAAGTGCGTATATGACCTGCGACAGACGCTCCGGGGGCTCGCCGGGGTGCTATTGACTAGCCCGCTCCTGCAGCGCAAATGCTCCTGCTCAAGGGGCGCTCGCAGCGGGCTTCTTCCCCGATCCTCGTTTGTCCGATTGCACAGAAATCCGCCGATCACCTAATCAATACTCACGCGGTTCCGACTCTCACACCACGTCTTCAGTGCTCCAAGTTACAGAGTGGCAAAAGGCCTCCAAAAGCTCCCATCGCGCGTGCCAAGAATGTGTCTTAAAAGGGAAACGCACGAATTTGCGGGACCAGTTAAAAGAGTAACGCAAGGGAGACTTTCGGCTTCGACGTCAGCATGTTTCCCCGGCAGTAAGGCCCATTGTCCTCCGTGTAAAGAAAACTTTAATCGGAAGCAATGGATTATTTATTTACTTTTAAGGCTGCAGTCTTTGGCACATTTCCATGAGAGCAGGCTCGGCCTTAAAGCTGAAGTAGGCGCCAAACTACGCTTCGTTGTTTAGTGTTCATGCGATGAGGAAAAGCGCTGCGGCTGCAGCCCTGCACCCGGGAACAACCCACTGGGTTCTTTGGAACTCACGTCTCAGTAAACAAAGGATTGCACAGAGCCTTCAGTGCGAAGTTCTACAAGTTGAACTTTCATCCATTGACTTTCAAGTATTCCAACCCCAAAACCACATACCAGTTTGCTGTCGTTTGCTCAAACATCAGAACAGGGCTTTCCTTAGCTGGGTTGGGCAATTCTGGACCAGCTACAACGATTCGGTAATACTGCAAAACTGGCTGTCGGTAGGTGCCTACAGGAAGTGCTCCACTCCGAGGACAATATTTTTTCTATGGCCAGCCATGCATGGGAGTTAATTCCAGTGGGGTTTTGTTCCCAGGTAAACATGCATATAATCTGGTAAAACAAAGAGACCGAAAAGGAAAAGTTTAGCCTATTTGGATGATACACCTTTTCACTTGGAAGCCTTGCATTCCCTCCAATCCTAAATGAATAATAAGAAGGTTAATGCTTATTATTACTACATGTCTGTACTGCTTGTGGCCAAAGCTGTCTGGGCAGTTCACAACGTTTAAGTCACCCATCCAGATTTAAGCAAGGCCTGGCTCTGTTTAGCTTCCAGAATTAGGTGGAATCGAGCACTTCGGACTATACTGTAATGCAATAAATGCCTTCTGTACATGCTCGGTGGCACTTTCATTCACCCAGAAATAATAAAACAATAAAAATAGTAGTAATCAGGAGAGAGTCTGTTGCTAAAGAGACTTTACTCAAATTAAACTTTATTCTGCACCTCATCTTTGAAATAAAAGTAATATTTATTCATGCATATAACTTAAATAATACATATAGATAATGTAACACCCATATTTGGCTTGCCCTTATCCCTTCAAAGTCAGAAATATCAGGGCAATTGTCAATCTAATTCAATGTAATGTTAATATACAATCTACATATGATCTATTTTGTTTTATTTTCCTCTCAGATTAACAACATTTGGTTTATATTTTATGTTTTAAAATATATTAATTGTTAACAGGTCTTGTTTCAGACTAGGGTGGCTAGTTATATATTGCAAAAAGAAAAGAAGGGAAAAAGAGGAAATGCAAAACAATTCCTCTGAATTGCTAAGTAAAATTTGCATAGTAAGTTTTCCATTTATCATTAAATTCTTTGGCCAGTCTTCTATTTATATAGCAGGTAAATTTTGCCATTACTGTATAGTCCCCTAATTTAATTTTTTCTTCACTAGTTGGCAGTCTTCTGTTTTCCATTTTGTTGCAATTATAACTCTAGTTGCTGTTATATATTTAAATAATTCTTCCATATTTCTTGGAAGCATTTCTGGCACAACACTCAACAGCATATTCTTACCGTTCATAGGAAAGTTAATTTTCAGAATTATCTGTGTTTCAGCATATATTTCTTTCCCTTTTTTAACATTACAGCACATCCACCACATATGGTAAAAGTCCCACCCACTACCTTGTATTTCCACCACTTACCTTTATAATGCTTGTTAATTTTCTCAACATCTTTCAGAGTAACATACCAACAAAAGAACATCTTGTACCAATTTTCTCTTAGTACTTGGCTAGCTGTAAATGTTATATCTTTCATCCATAAGATTTCCCATTGGTGGAAGAATATTGCTTCCTCAAAGTTCTGCACCTATCTTATCATACATATTTTATTTGTTTCATTTTCGGTATTTGAATTTCCCACACCCCTTCCAGCTGTTGAGCGCAAAGGTGAGCGCCTTTGCACTTGTCAGCAGGAGCAGGCAGGCAAACTGGGGAGCATTTGTTGGCTCAAGTGCTAGAGCAGGGTGGGCAATTAATTTTCCTATGGGGCCACATGAGAAACGTTGACAGTTGCTAAGGGCCAGACCAATACACTTACAGCTCTGCTCAATATATATCTCTATAAAAACAGTAAATGAAAAATTACAATGATACAATGAAGATGTGGAGCACAGAACAACACTATTTATGAATATTCACAAAAACATTAACATTACATGAAAAGCAATCAATTCAATTCAATTTAGCAGATCCTTCAAAATAAAAGCAGTGCAGTTGTATTGCTTGCATCTATATTACGACGATATATATTTGCATTGACTTTTAATTTGCCAGTGACCTCATGCGGGCCAGTCAGGATCAGCCATTGGGCCGGATGTGGCCTGCAGGCCATACAATGCCCAGGTCTGTGCTAGAGGCTCAGCCCGCCATCTGAAAGAAGGAAGGAGTGGCTGGAGAGATCACGGGCCCACAAAGTGTTCTTCTTCATCCAATTAATTAAATGGTTTAATTAATGGCTAATTAAATATATTAATTGTGTATATTAGATGAAATAAATATATTGCAAACAATTTATGATATGGAAATGTAATTCATTGTGCAGTCCCCCAGGTTCTGTGTCAAAGTCCTCATGTGGCCCTCGAGGTACAAAAAATTGGACCACCCTTCTGTATACAAATATGAACTGCCTGAAAGAGGTTGATGTGAAACACATAATTCACTTGCTGACTTGTCTGTTCTTCAAATCATGGAAAGGTTCTTGAGCAGGAAAACTATTTAACTGAAGGAAAGCCATTTCTGTAGGGTGAAGAAGGGTAAGATTTGCTGCACAGTTTAAAGGTCTGCTCTAGAATGTGACTTGGACTAGGACAGAACCACTCTGAAAGTTGTAATTGTCACATAGAAACTTCTTTTCATCATTATATTTTTATATAATTTAAACTTATCCTACTTACTCCCATGCTTATTGTAGCTCTCAGCTCATGGTGAGCCTATTGCCTGGATTCTTCATATAAAGTAAAACCTGATATTTATGTTTCATGATATACCTTCTATGGCTGCAGTTTTACAAATGTTCATTTGAGAATTTGGCTTGCTGTGGAACTTACTCCCAAGTAAATAAGGGTAAGATTCATGTGCACATCCAGTTAGCAATTGTATATATTTATATGTGTACCATTTCTATATCATCAAATACTAAGAAAAGGCTGTAAGTGGAATGTTCTGTTCCTGTTCCAAAATTAAATGCCCAAACAGGGTTACAAAAATGGTTATATTCTGAAAGTGACAAATGAACACTTTTAACACAAAAAAGATACAATGCAATCATTGTACCTGCTTAATTCACATGAGCGCCAGAGAAGGAGTATGTTTTTCCTTTGAGTTAAAAGTCCAGGTGCTGAGATGTAGGAAGAGACTCTCATTGCATAAAGGAGTACCACTGATTTGTACCCAGCATTCCCCCTGTTTTTCTCAGACTGATTTATCCACTATCACATCTTAAAACTGTCCCAAAAATCCATTAATATTGGATGCATCAAATATTTCATTTCTCTGTGGAAAGTCACCATTTCCCATTTTCAAGGTGAAGTTATGTAAGGTAGCAGTATGGCATGATTATTCACTTTGCCTATCGTGTGCATTGTAACTTTTACAAGAGAAGTGTTCTGTGTTTTTGTTGGCTAAATGGCGCTTGCTTCTTTATAAAATGGAAGATATTACCTGAGAAAGGGGTACACATGGAATGAATGTTATTACTGTTCATTTGAGACGATCACAGTCAAGCAAATACACAAACGTTGCAAATCATAGCAACAGGATGAACAGCATGGCAACAACAGCTGCTGCAATGAACAGGAGAATCAGACATGGGTTTGGAGGGGGAAAATGTAAGGAATGGGGAGCTTGTCAGCAAGGGAGCTATGCAAGAATCAGTGCCAGCCACGATTTACAGTAAGTAGTAAAGTATTCCATTTATCTCTTAAATAATGAATATATAAGAATAGATTCAGCGATGCGATGGTTATTTTCATCAAGGGACTGCATGTAAATGCAAGTTCTGACTCCATTTAAGGACCTGGCACTTTTGGAACAGGGTGAAATTAAACCAGCATGTTTATTTATGCTATCTCAACCCTGATCAGGAGATGTCACAGTTCATATTCCACTGGTAATGGATACCAGGGGGTCACATTGCTGAGGGGGCACCTCACTTTACTGATTTAATTTGTCATCAGCTCCTTATTCATCATTTGTTTGTTCTGTTCATGCTTCTCATACACATCACCTTGTTTCAGGATATGCTGAGATGTGGGCGATGATTTATATCCCACCCTTCCTCACAAGAAGCCTAGGGTGGGATGCACAAGTGAAGAGCAGTTGTCCATCAGTGTCTCTTATTTATCTGTAAAGTATTTCTTACAGTTGCGAAATCGAGGAACAGCACAACTGTTGTAAACCAGGGCCTATCACAAGGGGGAGTGGGTGGCAGGAGGGCCATTTGGCATGGCTCTCACACTAACGGAGGTTCTTACATTTCAGTGTGCTATAACAGGTCAAGAATTACTATCGGTCAACTGTGGGAGAAGATGCTTTGAATGGCCCTTTTATGCTTAATGTAAACTATGACATTGCAAAGGAACTATATTTTTTCTAGAATAACTGATGGCTTTGCATGGGAAAAAGCTTTGATTGCATTGTATCTTTTTGTGCTAAAAGTACTCATTTGTCACATTCCGAATACAACCATTTGATGGCATTTCTTTTTTTTTTTTTTTTTTTTTCATATACCAGGAGGTCCTTACAAATTTTACGTGGCCCAGGCCTCTCTCTATCTCTGAGAGGGCCTGGGTAAAATACATACAGTAACAGAAGCCTGGAGTCAGTAATGTTTAGGGTAGGAACCTATAACGTGGAACTCAGTCCCAACAGCTTAGGGCTCAGTTGCCTGAAGGAACACCTGATCCCATTGCTTTTGTGTTGTGCCTGTTACTGGAGTCTCCACCAGGTGCCCCCTAGAGAGCTTTCTCAGACATCCCATGTGTAGAACATCCTCCCAGAAAGTGCCAACATTCTGGATCTTTTAGCACCAAAGACTTATTTGTTTTCCCATACCCTTTTAACGTATTATATTTTTATTTGCCTTTTTCTTGCAAGCCACTCTGGAAACTCTGCTGAATGGTGGCATATAACTCTTAAAAATAAATTACTGATGAAATCATCTCTGCTCAGGCAACAGAAAGTGCAAGGAAACAAGGGCTGTGTTCACAGTCCAGAGTCCATTTCGCAGCTCCCACTTGCACAAGTGATCAAGCAGGAGTGAAAGAGCAAGATACACCAGTACATGAGCAAGCCTGAATTCTTTAGAACAAGGCCAGTGAGTTTTGTCCAAAGATTTGATAGTGGATGTAAAATTCAATAGCAGTGTAAAATTACACTGGTGCAAAATCTTATGATTGTGGTTGTGCTGTTTGCATGTTGCATGAAAACGTGTTACTCTTTCAGCAGGCAACACAGTGTTTGTCATAGATGTACTTTGCTGATAGGTATCTACATCCATTCCCAGATCCTTTAAGTGTAGGTAGTGTGAGTCAGATGTAGAGGTGTGTGTTTAAGAATCTCCATATTGGCACAGATGAGCAGTAAACAGCTCCTGGAACAAGGCCTCTGCAGAGAAGAAGAGGCAAACACACTCTGGTCCTCACAATATCTGAAATTAGCACAGCAGGAGCAGAATATTTCAGTCTTGATGTTATTTCCATATCACACTCCTGCAGCTTGCATCACAGCATGTAGAACACAAATATTTCACTTCTAGAAGCCAAGCAAAGGAAGTGCTAAATACTTAGTTTTGTTAGGAGGTGAGTTGTGTTCTCATGCATTCCCGAAGGTAGCACTCTTTTGCTACCAAGCAAGTTTAATTCAGCTTCCTTCTATTTTAATTGGCATCTCTGACTAAACTTACCAGCTCTCTGGCACTTTTAGAAAAGATACTTCAGCATTACACTTGCATGTTTATAAGTTTTCTACACTGCTCCCAAATAATTAAGGTTCTCTAGGAGAGTTTCCAATAAAAATTAAAGCCATAAAAGCAGTAAAATACAAACACAAAAAGTAACTTTCTAGGGATCATGTCAAATTCAAGGCCATGTCAGACATGACATGTAGTCAAGTCTGAATATGACCTGTGAGTGAACACAGATGTAGCTCTTCAGACATTATGGTCTGTATCGGGCTTCTTTAATGGACCACATCATCCTTAGCCAGCACATGGTCCAATGCAATGAGAGGGTACCAAACTGGGGGTGGCTGATATATATGCTTTCCTCTGCAGAAATGCTCTAAAGAACAGACTCTTATATGAGGACAAAGAAGTATAGCCAGTTTTAAAATAAAGAGAGTTAAAACTAAAATAAATGTTAATATTGCAAGTTGGGGTTAAAGGTAGCTTTCAGTTCTGAAAAGGCTGAGGACTGCTGACAAGGCCATCATGACATTTTTTCCATCAGGCTCCTACCTGTAATAAAGAACAGTACAGATAAGTCGGGTGGGTGTGGAAGTGAAATGGATCATTCACCACTTACAAAGCCCTGCTGGCTCTCACTTCTTAGAGTGCTCTTTGCAAGGAGGGAGGGGGAATTCTCTTTTTTCTTGCCCCCCACATTTTGAAGTTTTCTCAACATATTCCCTCCTTTGGTTCCACCAATAGAAAAAATACCTCTCTCATCCTGATGGCCTTCCATGGAAATACAGGGATGTTGGATATCTGGCTGCTTGTGCCCTATCCCCAGAAAACCTCATGTTTTGGTTTATCACTGGTGGGGACACTGCTAGCAGTGGACTGACATGAGCAGAATGTTCTGCTAACATAACTGGAACCATTCTGCAAATATGATGTCTCTCTGCTGGTGGTGGGGCACTGCTGCCCTAGTTTATCCCCTGTCAGATTAGGATTAGGATGTGCTGTAAAATTCCAAAGACATCTAACTGGCTATTGTTGAAACTGATGCTGATCCTGATGGATCTTTAGTATTATCTTGCTAGGCAATTCCTGTATTTTTTACCTGAAGAACCATTCAGAGGAGCAGGAGAGTTTGAAGCAAAGTGTCATTTATCCTCATCACCACCAGCACCACCACTTTCATCCTAGTCTTGAGTGTCAGAAAGGTAAAATTTCAAATGATACAGGGAGGAAATGGAACGATACTGTGGCTTAGTATTCTTAGGGCTGTTGCATCAGGAGCATAAGCAACCCAGAGATTGGAGGAGGTGGAGCTGAGTTTTAAAGGGCCTGTTTCGGAATCCACCCCTCTTCTATTTACCGCTCTAGGAAGTGACGCCTTCCCAGAATCCTACCGAAAGCCTCAAAGTTGGCATTAGTTTGGCTTGTTGATCGTGGCTTCTTCCTCCCGCTTGCAGAGGTGAGCAATCCTTCAGTGCTGGTTTTCGACTCTGGATATGCTTCTGTGTCTTTTGCTTATTTTGGGTGGGAGATTTCCGCATTTCTGCTACTCCACCTGTCCCCGTCCCTAGAAAAAGTTAGAAAAGTAAGTTTATCTCTGGATTGGCCTGCGTATGCAAAACAGGGTGGAAAGCATTGGGATGAGAAGCAAACGGCTCGGCATTGCTTCTGCAGAAGTGACAGGCGCAGCCGCCTGAACGTGTGTGTCTGTGTGTCTGAGAGCGAGCGAGCGCCGGCGGGGTGACGTTCTGCCTTCGGGACGAGGGCGCAGCACGGCAACGGGTTGTTTTTCCTCCTCAAACTAACGCAGTCTTTTCGCTTCTGTGTCCTTTTTACCTGGAGCAGAAGCTCTGCAACTTACTTTGTCTCGGGTGAGGCGGTCCAATGACTCAAACGAGCCCTGTAGCTGTTTATTTGTTTTGTCTGTTCTTCAGCCCCTTCGCCAGCGATTCAAGTTTATTCCACAAGCAAAGAGTTCTTTTTAATGATCATTTGCTGCTGACATTGCACGGGGCTGGGAGTAGAAGGAGCTGCTCCAAATATGGGACGGGCTTTTAGGAAGGAAACAGAAAGAGCCTTGCCTGCCTTGCAACGAATAATGAAGCGGTCTCTTCGGTCTGCAAGGATCAGACGTCTCTCTTGGGAGTTAAACAGGTTTTCCCCACGCCTGGCTGCCTAAGCGGAAAATACCCACCCTTGTCGGACAAAAGCTGGTTACATGGCTTCTGACAGATGCTCTATACTGCATATTTCTAACAACTGAAAAGAACGGGTTCTTTGGCAGTTTAGCGACTAACTCGGCTGAACACCCACTTACATATGTGACTGTACCTTACATAATACTCGCAAGCTTCTGAGTAAACCTGGAAGGAGGAGGTTTATTTTTGCTGTTGTCGGCTGCACGCGATCATTTTTCCCATCTGCAATGAATTCTTGCTTTGCTGTTCTTAAAATCTATGAACTTTTAAGTTTAATTTTAAATATAAGCTCACTGAGGTACTGGTAGTTCAGAAGTACTCTGCAAAAAGAAAAGAAAGTAGCAAAGCTTACATTGGAAAGATAGAAAGAAAAGTGTCGGTTTGTCTGAACACCAGTATCTCCGCCTGATTATGGGCAGGGCTGTTTCTTCCAAGGCAGGAACTAAGGAACTTCCAGGTTATTATGCATAGGATTGCTTCCTGAACAATGATTAGGGGTTTTCTGGCTGTATTTGAATCACACATTAGTACTCATAATGTCAGACAATTTAATGAAATGGAAAATATGAAATCTAGCTGAAGTGACTTTTGCATTCACACTGAATCACTAACTCAACAATATGTGAAAAAAGCTGCATGTATGTGACTTTATAATGTGTCCAATACTTTATTGCAAAATTGGTGTCTGGGCATGAGCAAAATCTTAGGAAAAGTTTCATCCAGTTGGTTACGTATCATGTAAAATTAGAAGGTTCTCACAAGAGCTAAGCAACTCCTTATATTATGGGACAATTGCATAAGGATGCTTTGAACATGAAGGAGATTGTGCAAAAGTTCTCTGCCACTGAAAGAAAAAAGAGGTTTGCATTACAGATAGAGAATAGAGAATTTGCTCCATAGGGAGCTGCCAAATTCCTGCTTGACCTTAACTGCATAATCCTCCTTGGAGTCTTCCCAAGAGTAGAGGGAAGATGTGCATTTAAGGTTGTACTTCTAGTTATTAAAAAGAAATGGAGAAGAAAAAAAAATGGCAGAAGAAACATGCATGCCTATAAAGCCCTTATCCTCAGACAATAGCCATAAAAACCCTAGAGGAAAATGTAACATTTCAGGAAGCTTTGACAGCAGAGCCTTTGATCTCTCAAAGCAATTGTGCCATCTCAATTAAAGGCTACACATACCCCAATGTTTGGTGAAATTAGTGCAGCCTTGGGAATAACGTAGAAACTCTGAGTAGTGCTTAATATTTTTACAGGGTTGGTTAGAGGATAGATTGCAATATTGCAGTATGGCTTTATAATGTGGTCTTTGTTTTGGTTGGGTCTACAAGCTAAAAGGACATATCATTGTATCCAGTAATATCATTGGTATGAGTCTGGCAGGAGGCCTGGCCTGGAGCCTGAGGGCTACCTCTCATGTTGCATCATTTAAAACATTTATTTATTTGACTTGTTCTGCCTTTCTACCATGAAAATGGCATCCAAGTGGCTTAGAATCATAAATAAAATGTGATTAAAACAAGAATAAAATGAATTAAAGCACAACCAAACAGAGGAAAAGCAAAATAAAAACAGTATGCAACCCACAGACCTGCTTACATGCAAAAGGCCTGCTTGAATGAAGTGGCCTTCACTGGCTGGCAGAAGGCCAACAAAAGAGAGTGAGCCTCATCCCACAGCTTGAGAGTATTTATTTATTATTTATTTATAAAATTTGTATGCCGTCCAATTACTTGTGTCTTCTCAGAGTAGCCACTAAGAAGGCCATCTTGCCACCCAGCATGCCTCTGAAGTGGCAGTCTTGAAAGGAGGACTTCCCCTGAACATGCAGGGGAAAGGTGATCTTTCAGGTGCCCTGGAGCCAAGCTGTACAAGTTATAACCAGCACTTTGAATTTTGCCCAGAGACAGATGGTAGGCAATGACACTGTTGTGACAAGTGGCTCCTATGTTTCCTGTAACCGGCCACAGTGTTCTCAAGCAGCTAACTTTTCTGGACAGATTCAAAGGCAGACCCATGTAGTGTACTTGGTCAGTAGTCCAAACTGGATGTACCTATGGCATGCATGAGCATGAGTAGATTAGCAGCCTCTGGGAACAGGTGCTATTGGTGCACTAACCTCAGCTGCACAAACGTTATCTGTTGCTGAAACCGAAGTGGTTTGGTTCAGGGCTGTGTCCAGAAATACACCCAAACTGCAGCACTATGTACCCATTAAAATGTAATATTCACAGCTGCCTCACATCTTTGAGGCAGGATACTGAATAAGTGGGAGCTGTTAGCTGTCATCTCTGCCATTAACTCTTGACTTGTCTTAGGCATGCCAGTATTCGCTCAGCCTTCCATCTACAGATATGGGATTGCACTGGCTGACCCTATAGGGCTGTTGTAAAAGCATACTGATATGTATGTGGATTGTTTGGAACATTTGAAAAGCGCTATATACGTGAATAGTACATTAGCTGTACATACTTTGTGGCTACATGCAACAGCACCTCTAACGTGTGAAAGACAGCCCAAGGATGGATGCTACCACTGTGTAATGCATCAAGTTGGTGATCAGGAGAGCAACTAGCTGTGGAAAAAAAAACTACTCTCACCATGTAACTACCATCATTATATGTTTAAATGGATTTCTAGTAGTGTGGTAATACACTTGGCTTGTCCACTTAAGAACAGTACTTTCTATCATGCATGGTAATACCTGACTGTGCAGTAGGGTTATTACTGACTGGCTAGAAAACCCCAGGCCCAGCCTGCTTCTGTTCCTTTAGCAGAAATAAGCACAAGGCATGGAATGAATGCTTGCATACTGATGCAAAGAAAAAACATTGTTAAAGGGATAGCTACAGGGGCCAGTTCAAGAGACTGTGATCTACCAGGCTGAGGCACTACAAAGAAGCTGTGGTCCAACATAGGGCATGGGTTGGTGAAGGCTGTTTGGAATTGCAGTCGAACAAAATCTAAAAGATCATAAATTGCTCACTCCTGCCCTATATACATTTCAAGGGAGAAAGGGGGTGTCCATCAGTGTTGTTTCTTTATGGTGAAGGCAAAGTCTTTAAGAACTTTAAAGGAGATGTACAAATGCTTCAAAATGGAGAGGCAGGACTGCTGGCTCAGGGTAAAAAATAATGCTTTTCCATTCTTTTTCTTGTTACATGGTGGTAGAGATCAGAATTGCCTTCTCAAGGGATTTCCTTGCTCCATAAATGCCTTAGGGGAATAAAACATCCCTAGGGAATGAAGATTTAAAAGTTTCTGATCGCCCAAACGTAGAGAGGAAAGAAATAAGGCATTGAGTAAATGGTGAAACATGATAACCAGTTAAGAGTTCTAAGTGCCAAACAGAGGTTACACATTCCAGAGATGCCTAGAGAGGTATACTCTATATAGGTGCTTCTATGGAAATGCTAGAAGCCTCCAAGCCAAAATAGGAGAGCTGGTAGAATGGTGGAAACTAGTGGGATACAGTAATCTGTGGATAACAATTCTACAGGAAGGACCTAGAAGGGCATATGGGAGGAGGTACTGCTCTGTACATAACAGGGCATAGTGTCCAGCAGACTCAAAAACCTTAACAGGGAAGATTTCCCCACAGAAGCACCATGGGTGACAATACCCGGTCCAGGACAACTTTAGTAGTAGGAACATGGTTTCATCCCCCAGACCTAAATGCTCAAAGAGATCTTAAGATGGGAAATGAAATCAGGGAGGCTTCCAAATGAAGTTGTGTGACTTCAACTACTCCTGCATCCACTGGATAACTACATGTTATGATAAAGAAGTTAAAATTCTGTGTCCTAGTACAACTGGCCATGAAACTAGCTAAAAGGAAGGAAATACTGGATTTAATCTAAAATGGGATTGCAGAGGACCTAGAGCAAGTGTTGTTGAACCAACTGGAAACAGTAACCACAATGTCAGCAGATATAATATATATTTAACTGGAATTTTGTCAAAGAGGTCCAACAGTCACATTTGACTTCAAATAGGAAACTTCTCTAAAATTAGGGTACTAGTATAAGGAAATGGAAAGGGGGAGTCAAGTTGCTTAAATCTCTTCAGAATGCTTGGAGATTACTGAATCATAATAACAACAGATCAGATAATACGTATACCATGGGTTAGGAAAGGTAGCACCAAATCCAAGTGTCAAGGAAGGTCAAGGAAGGTATTAGAGGTAAGAAGGCTTCCTCCAAAAATGGAATCTTGCCCAAATGAGGACAACAAAGATGAGCACAAGTTTGTGACAGGAAAATATAAGTAGACAATAGGAGATGCAAAAAGACATTTTGCTAATGACATCAAGGCTACCAAAAATAATTATTTAAATCAGAAACTGGAAACCAGTTAGGGAGGTAGTTAGACCACTGATTGATAGTTAAAGGAATATTGAAGGTGGATAGGAAGATTATGTAGAAGCTGAATGAATTATTTTCATCTGTTTTCACTGCAAACAGTGTAGGATAGATGTCTGAGGAACCAAGGCAAACAGTGGTGACAAACGATGGAATTCTCAGCCTTATTGACAAACTGAAACTTAATAAATCACTGGGTCCAGATGGCATCTATCCCAGAGTTCTTAAAGAATTCGAATGTGAAACTTCTGACCTTCTTTAAAAAATAAATAACACATTAAGAGCAGTCTCTGTACCAGAGGACTGGAAAATGACTGATGTAATGCTAATTTTTAAAAAGGGATCCAGAGGGATTTTGGAGATTGCAGACCAGTTAGTTTAAGGTCTGTTCCAAGCAAATTGCTTGAAAGCATTCTTATGTATAAAGTTAGGAAACATACAGAAGGATACACCTATTGAGAAAGAATCAACACAGACTTAAGTCCTGCCTTACTAAACTTCAGGGTTCTTT